TAAGTTGTAGAATATGAACGTAATGGAATACTGTTGTGCTATGAGAAATGATGAGCAGGCAGATTTTGGAAAAATCTGAAGACTTACATGAACTGATGCTGAGTGAAGTAAGCAGAACCAGGAGACCATTGTACACAGTAACAGCAACATTGTGCGATGATCAGCTATGATTGATTGACTTAGCTCTTCTCAGCAACAAAATGATCCAAGACAATTCTAAAAGACTCACAATGAAAAATGCTATCCACATCCAGAGAAAGAACTATGGAGTCTGAATGCAGATCGAAGCATACTATTTACACTTTTTTTTGTGGCTTTTCCTTTTTGTTCTGTTTCTTCTTTCACAACATGACTAATGAGAAAATATGTTTAACATGATTGTACATATATAACCTATATCAGATTGCTTACTGTCTTGAGGAGGGTGTGGGAGAGGGAGAAAAATTTGGAACTCAAAATCTAATAAAAAATGAATGTTGAAAACTATCTTTACATGTAATTGGAAAAAATAAAATACTATTTAAAAAAAACCACTTAGTACAGAAACTGGAAAGATTGCAGGCCTCTGTTTTTCATGTCAGTCTGACTCATGACCATTCTGGTATCCCTCACTTGGGGGTCATTAACCACCATTACTTGTCTGTTCCTCCTTTGACTATTTCTGAGTGACCTCTCAACTGATGGTGCCTGTGTGTTCATGTCATCAAACTTTGGATCAGAGGAAACTACTTCCCAGATTTGAGTGCTCCCTACCTTTGCTCTGTTTCTGGTCCTTATTGCCTATTTTTTTTTTTAAGAATCTTCCCTATCTTCCAGTTTCCATACCTACAATGGAATTTCCCTCTATCGTGTTAAATCTTTTTTCTTTAGTTTTACCTTCTAATACCCCTTCCATTTTTGCTTGGAATGCCTCAGTTTCCTCATCTTTAAAGCATGGTGGTTGGAGTAGGTGACCTCCAAGGTCCCTTCCAGTCCTAAATCTATGATTCTACATTTCATTTTCTCACAACTGGAGAGAAGAGATTGCACTTTTTATCCTTTTATCTTCACTGATGGAGACCAGCTTGTTATATATAGGTATTACTTGGTACCAGCAGAAACATAAACATAGCACGCTCTTGACAGATCACTTTATAATTTTCTTTATTCCCCATACTTGCTTGAAGCACTGATTCTAGTTCTAGTTCTTATAAGTAACTTGACTAGTTAATCTTTCTGGGTAACTGTTTGCCAGAAATGTGTGGCAAGAAATGTCTTGGGTGGGAGTGCAGCGGACTGAGGGAAGGCCCGGGAAGAAGAAGGGTGTTAACGGAGTGAAGTTTAATTTATTAACTACGATCTCTCTCCCGGGAAGATTTTTGCTCTGCTGCCTTTAATTGGCAATTAGCACATTCCTGCTAAATCCTAACAAACAATCTAAAAGCTGAAATCCAGTTATGCCCACTTTTGTCTCTCCTTTATGGCTGAGCTCCAGACATCTGCTTGTATGTCCCTTGTCTTTTATATTTGTAGTTGTATAATAACTTTAGATTGTAATTTTAATGTCTGTTAAATTATTTATATAGGATTTTATGAGTACAAAGTGCTTTGAGTCTGTAATTTCCTTTGATCTTTACAACGACATTGTGAGGCAGGTAGTACAAATGCTCAAGTGCAATTGAGATTTACCCAAGGTAATTAAAAAAAAAAATTTAACTGGCTAGAGTCAGGAGATTCAGCCTGCCCCACCCTTATTGTTAACCTCCAATCTGTCATCACCAACTGCCTTTCAGATTATCTCCAAGTGGATATCAGTAGACATTTTAAACTCAACTGAATTCCAAAACTGAATTCATTACCTTTTCTCCTAAACCCTTCTACCTTCCTTAATACTACAGAGGGTATCACTATCCTCCTAGTCCAGGGGTGGGGAACCTTTAGCTTCGAAGCCACATGTGGCCTTCTAGGTCCTTGGGTGTGGCCTTTTGACTGAGTCCAGGTTTTACAAAACAAATTCTTTTATTGAGGGGACTTGTTCTGTGAAGTTTGGATTCAGTCAGAGGGCTATAGTTGAGAACCTAGAGGGCCACATGTGGCCTCAACTCCTCACTGTCACCTCCTCATGTTCAACCTGTTGTCAAGGCCTGTAGATTGTACCTTTTCAGCACCTTTCAAACATGTGCTTTTCTTTCTATACTACCACCACCAAAGTGGTGGCAGTATATCCCCTCACACTTGGCCTATTGTAATAGCTTGTTGATGGATCTCCCTGCCACAGGTCTCCCCAATCCAGTCCATCCTTTATTCAGCCACCAAAATGATTTTCCTAAAGCACAAACTCATGCCACCTTCCTACTCAAAAAACTCCAGCCACTCCCTATGGCTTCCAGGATCAAATACAGAATACTCAGTTTAACATTCAAAGCACTTCATAATCTAGCCCCCTCCTAATTTTCCAGTCTTTTTACACTTTATTCCCCACCAGACATTGGCCTCTTTGCTAATCCTTAAACAAGCCACTCCATCTCTTTACTCGGGGCATTTTCTCTGTTTGTTCCATATCTGCTTCTTGGCTTCTCTGGCTTCCTTTAAGTCTCATCTAAAGCCCCATCTACTATAGGAAGCTTTTCCCAACCCCTCTTAATTCTAGTGCCTTCTCTTACGTCTATATTTCATATTTGTCCTGTATATAGCTCGATATACATATTTGTTTGTTTTCTCCCTTATTGGATTGTGAATTCCTTGAGAGAAGGGACAGTCTTTTTCCTCTTTTTGTAACCCCAGCTATTAGCATATTGCCTTGGCACTGGCACCCACATAGTACGTGTTTAATAAATGATTATTGATTGATTGATGAATTCAATCTTATGTCTTCTGATTCCAAGTCTAGGCTCTTTTCATTACATTATACTAAATGAAAACTTGGAAAAGTTGGGATTCAGATAGTGAATTCTAATTTATTAATCTGTACTTATTGTTGTTTTGTTGGTGAGGGATTATGGAGATGAGAATGGAAGTGTTGGAGGGAAGGCAAGAATTTCACATGGATTATCAAAGATGGAGCCTACCTGATACTGATACATTGATCAGGAGAGTTCTATCAACCATTTCTTAAGAAGCTTTATGAACTGTTCCTTAACAAAGATCCACCATTTTGAATGGCTTCTCTACTAGTAACTCACATTTACTTAGTGCTTTGAGGTTTACAGATTTTTTTTCCTTTAGCAACTCTGATGTAGTTAGTGCTAATATTATCCCCATTTATAGGTGAGGAAAGTGATCTTCAGTTTCCTCAAATAACTTGTATATACTTACACAGCTATTGTCAGAACTGGAATTTATGTTCGAATTTCTTTACTTAAAGGTTAGAATTCTTTCTACTACACTCTTCCAGGGAAGGGAGAATCCTAAGGTTGTAAAAAATTCTAAGATATACAGAGATCTCATATTTTTATAACTGAAAATTGGCTGTAGAAAAAGATTCTTTAACATTAATGTTAGAGTGTATTTGTTGTAATTTTTTTTCCAGCCCATAAATTTTGGAGTGAACAGATTAAGAAGCACACAAGCAGCTGCACAAGTAGTTTTAAATGTTCCTGAGACGAGAGTAACAACTTTGGAAAATGGACTCAGGGTAGCCTCTGAAGACTCTGGCCTCTCAACATGCACAGTAGGTAACATAGGCAACCTTTTTTTGGGTGAACATTCATTTGGAGAGGACAACTATTGACTGTAAATCTGCTCTTCAGCACCTAAGTGCTTTGCTTGATAGATTCCTAGCAACTATGTCTTTGGTTTCTAATGGTGGCCATATGCCCAGAATGTTCTTGGCTACCCTTTCTAGTATCTCTTTTGGCTCTTATAATGTATTAACACTTTTGTCATGGTAGCAAGCGTAATTTTGTAGTTATCTTGTAACAGTCTTGATGACCCCACATCTTGAGTCCTGTTCAGTACTATAAATGAATTATTAATTCACTACAGTGAATACATGGCTTTGTATTAATATTGGATGAGATATTTCAAGAAGAGGGAGGAGGTCACAAACCAAAATTGATGGTGTTTTGTAATTTTTTTGTTTTTGTTTTTTGGTATTTTAATAAGGTTGGACTTTGGATTGATGCTGGAAGTCGATATGAAAACGAGAAGAATAATGGAACAGCTCATTTTTTGGAACATATGGCTTTCAAGGCAAGTTGTTAGATTTGTTTAATATATTTTCTTTAGGAGATGGTAAATACTAAGTCATTCATTAAACTGTAATACTGATTAATTATCTGTGGTGGAGTGCATATGTTATTCATTTCTACTGTAAGACATTCCTTTGTCTTTGCTGGTCTTCAGTGGCACCCTCAAAACATTGTTTATACTTGAATTTAAAGTTTAAAAAAAGCTTTTTGTAATCTAAGGATAATCTGAATGGGTACCAGTTGAGAAGGAAAGAAAGAAAAGAACAATGGATTTATTAAGCATTTGTTGTGTGTCAGGCACTAAGTGCTTGCAAATGTTATCTCATTAATTCTCACAATAACCCTGGGAGGCAGGTGCTATTATGGTCACCGAAGAAGTTGAGGCAAACTGAGGTTAAATGACTTGCCAAGGGTCACATTGCTAGTAAGTATTTGAGATGGGATTCAAAGTCAGGTCTTCCTGACTCCAAACCCAACCATTTTATTTATTGCACCACTTAGTTGCTCTAAAGCCCTATGTACTTTTCCCTCAAGTAGTCAAGATAGTTTACTTGAAATTGACTTCTGCTCATGTACTTCCTAGTCCTTATGTGATGTTTATAGCACCTCTCTTATGTACCCACTATGTATGATTTATTTGTAGTAGTTGTGTCATCTCACCTCCCTCACCTTTAAGCTCTGTAAGGGCAGGAAACCTTTCTCATATAAACTTTGTACCTTACATGGAGCCTGGGTGCAGTGCTCTGAACATAATAGGCACTTAAAAATAATTGCTGTTCTCTGAGCTACCACCTCACAACCATCAAGTGGCTGTGTTGACAAAAAAGGGAAATGACAGATGCTGGCGGGGCTGTGAGAAAACAGGTACTTCACAGGTTGGTGAAAAATGAACTGGTCCAACCATTCTGGAAAGCAATTTGGAATTTTTTCTAAAAAGCTATTAAACTGTGCATACTGCTACTCGGTCTTTACCTAAAAGAGATAAAAGAAAGAGGAAAGGGATCTATATGTATAGAAGTGTTTGTAGCAGTTCTTTTTGTTGTGGCACAGAATTGGAAACTGAGAGGTATGCATCACTTGGGGAAGGCTGAACAAGTTATGGTATATGACTATGATGGAATACTATTATGCTATAAGAAATGATGAAGGAAATGGTTTTAGAAAGACCTGGGAAGATGTGTATGAACTGATGCAAAGTGAATAAGCAGAACCAGGATAACAATTTACACAGTAGCAGCAATATTGTAAGAATAAACAGCTTTGAAAGATTTAGTAGCACTGATCAATACAATGACTAACCACAGTTCCAAAGGACTTATGGTAAAACTCAGAGTACAGATTAGATTGAAGCACATTTTTTTCCTTGATTTGGCTAATGCAGGAATTTGTTTTGTGTAACTTACATATTTGCAATTTTGTTTGTTTTCCCTTCTCTATAGTTGGGGAAGTGGAAGGAGTGAATTGAACCTGAAAATAAAATTTAATTTAAAAAAACTGTTGTTTTTGTTAAGTTGAGGACTATACATGGACTTAACCAACTCTCCACTTCATCCACTCTTCTCCCCCTTTTGTTTCAGGGCACCAAAAAAAGATCTCAATTAGATCTGGAGCTTGAGATTGAGAACATGGGTGCTCACCTAAATGCGTACACATCTAGAGAGCAAACAGTATATTATGCCAAGGCTTTCTCAAAAGATTTGCCAAGAGGTATTTATTTTTTGTATTTGCAAAATTCTGAAACTATTTCTTGAGGGTATTATATTTTTCTTGGGGTTCTTATTACTTTTCATTTTCTCATGAGAGCTTTAGAAGAATAGAATTGTAGAGTTGGAAAAGATCTTAGTAGTCTTCTAGTCCAACCCCCTCTTGAGTGGATGAATGCTTTACAATATTCCTGATAGTCATCTGTATGAATACCTCCAATAACGAAGGACTCCCTGTCTCACAGGACAACTGATTTTATTTTTTGACAGCTCTGAAATCTACCTCCTTATAATTTCTACAGTGGGTTCTAGTTCTTCCATCTCAGCAGAATAAGTCTTATGCCTGTTCTTTAAAAACAACTCTTAAAATATTTCACCACCCTTATGTCACACATTCCTAGTCTGATTGTAAGTGTAAATGTATTCAGCTTTTCCAGACTATTTCCGTATCATGCAGTTTTGAATCTCATCACCCTAGTAGTCTCTCACTTCTGGATGCCTTGTTGCCAAAGATCCCTTTCTAAAATGTGGTGCCCAGAACTAACACAGCATTCTGTATACATACTGACCAAGGCAGAATGAGACCTCTGCTTCCCTAATTCTGGATATTATTTTTGGTCACTTGAGACTAAATTAGCTTTTTTGGCTCCTATTTCTCATTATTGACTTATACTGAGTGCGCAATCAACTGAAGTCAACTAAAATCACAGTCTTTTCATAAGAGTTTCAGCCTAGCCAATGTTTCCTCAGCCTATTTTTGGATAGTTGTAAGTTTAAATTACAAAAGGTATTAATTGTTGATCTGCATTGATAGAGGGAGTTCTCGGCTGACCTTTCTCTACTCCAATGAAACCATGAATCCAGACAAAAAATAGAAACATTTGTTAAATAATGAATCCTTTCCCATTTTTAAATTTCTATGAACAGTAATCTTTTGTTTACATTTTATTAGATGCTTTGGATATCTATTGTATTCTACTTATCTGTTTTTCTTTTTTGCCCAGCACTGGGTAGTTTTGATGACAACCATTTTTTGTTTGTTTGTTTTTCTACCAGACTTATTTCATTCATATAGAAAACTCCAGTGAGGAATATCATTCTGCTGAAGTATTTTGGCATCCAAGTTATAGTCTTGCAGAGTGGCCGAGGGGACTGAGAGGTTAAATAACTTGCCCAGCATTATATAACTGGTATATTTTAGAGACAGAATTTGAATCCAGTCTTCCTATCCTTAGGACAGCTCTCAAAAACCCAGATTGTGCTCTAAAAATTGTAATTCTTGAACTTTTCCTTTTAATAGCGGTAGAAATTCTTGCTGATATAATACAAAACAGTACATTGGGAGAAGCTGAGATTGAACGTGAACGTGGAGTTATCCTCCGAGAGATGCAGGAAGTTGAAACCAATTTACAAGAAGTTGTTTTTGATTATCTTCATGCTACAGCCTATCAAAATACCGCCCTTGGACGGACGATTTTAGGGCCAACAGAAAATATAAAGTGAGTGTGTTCTCTACTGCTCAGGAGTTTGTGAGTATAGGAAATGATCTGGTAAATCATCAGTCATGGGCTGCCATGAGAGAGCCTTGCTTCTTCCATGCTTGGGAGTGTGAACTTTAGAGACTCTAGATTTCATGGTTTAATCATCTTATAAACATGAAAACATAGCTATATTTTAGTTTGCTGCACTTAATCCCACATGACTCCTTATTAATGTTTGTTGAATTGGCACTTAACATTTACAAGCCCTTAAAATTTGGAAGAATCCGTTATTAGGTAGGACTTCACTTTAAGTCAAGGCTGCTCATGGGTATAGATGAGAGATACAGATGCTTCTGCCTTTTTCTGTATTATGAAATATGACAGTTGAGATGCTTCTTTCTGCATATATGGCACATGTTATTATAGGACACCTTAAAGGGCATATTGGAAGTCAAGGGTATTCCACTTTTCTTTCTTTTCCCTTTTAACCACCTTTCTTTTTCTACTTTCAGATCTATAAACCGTAAAGACTTAGTGGAATACATAACAACACATTATAAGGGTCCAAGGATTGTGCTTGCTGCTGCTGGAGGTAGGTGATCAGAAGTGCAAAGTATTTGTTATGCTTTTGTGTCCATTTCATTAGGGCTCTTTTCCATGGTTTCTTATATTAGTTTAAACTGGTTGGGAAGTGCCCCCTGTAGCTCCTCATTTAATAGCTAAATTACTAAGTCTATAAAAGCCTAAAGTAGAGGGAGGGGAAATGGAGTACATATTTCATTCATTTTGAAAGATATAAACTTCTTTGTGTCTTAAATAATAAGCTTCAGTTATAGAGCAAATTATTAACTGTTTCCAGGTAGTAAAGTTAAGAACCAGAGAAATAGTGGGATACGTTTTTGCTTGGAAGGTAGTTTAATCTCTGGAGACTTTTAAGTTTATTTCTCTAACAAATATTTTTTGAACATCAGCTTTTGACTTCTTTTTAATGACCACTGTCTATGTTTCTGCTAAGCTTGCTTTCAGCAAAATGTGGAGCTGGGCAGTATATCATGGAGTGGAAAATACTTAAAGTTTCCATTGGAAACAGCAGGCATCTGAATGCTCAGACATGACAATAAAGCTCCCCGAAGTTTGGTGCCACTTGTTTGGTAGCATAGGGACAGAAAATAATGAATCACTGTAGAGCAAAGGTCTCCCTGTTACATTGTTTTCCCTCACCTATTTTAAGTTAACTATCAGGATGCTTTGTTTCTCCTTTTTCCAGGTTTTCCAGTTTTCCCTGTTTATTCTAGATTGTAATTTGCTTGGGGGTTAGAAGTACATCTCTGTTCACCTTTATGTTCCTGATACTTATTATGTAACATTGCATATACTTCAAAAGATTGGTGATTTCATTGGGAAGCCTACTACGTGCAAGGCATTGTGTCAGGCTACAAAAAATACGAAGACAAAAACAAGATATCCCCTTCCAGTTAATAAACATTTCTTAAGGGTCTACTATGTGCCAGGCACTGTGTTAAGCTCTGGGGATATAAATATAAAAAGAAAAGCAGTCCCTGCCCTCAAGGAATTTACAATCTGATGGTGGAAGACAGTACAGAAAAGGAAAAGAGAAAGGGGGATGGGAAAGGAAGGGAAGGCATCCAGTGAGGGGACGTGATAGAGAAATCTAAAGGAATGCAGCCTAGTGGGAAATGAAGAGATGGCTGGCCTGAATGGCCTCTTTCAGTGGAGGTTCTGACCTTAACTAATACAGGAGAATATGAGATGTACATAAATTTTTTAAAATGCAAGTTAATTTGAAGTGGGAAAGAGCATTGATACCTGGGAGTATCAGGGACATCTTCACTGAAGACTTAGTACCTAATCTAACCTTTGAAGGAATACAAGAATTCTGACAGGCAGGTATGCACTTCTGGTGTTGGGGACAGAGGCAGGGAATGGGATGCCAACTTCAGGGAACAGCTGGTAGTCAGTTTTGTTGAAAGACAGAGTTCATCAAATCATTATCCTACTATTATTCTTTTATATTTAACATGTAGCAGCCTATTGCTTAGGTGTGTAGAATGATTGCTTTTTGTAACTGAGTAACAATATTGGGATATAAGCTTATCTGTAGTTTCCCTGGAAGCATTCATAGTATAATTCTAGTAGCAGAAATTATGTCAATGATGAGATGTATTTCATTCTATTCCTACATAGTTTTTTTTTTCCTGCTAGGTTTCACCTTTTGAAAGCTTTTCATTCTAAACAATTTGATGATAAACATTCTGTATAGTAACACCTATTAAAGACATGGTTCTTAAAAGGAAAAAAAAAGACAGAGTTTATAAAGAAGAGTAATATTAAAAAGGGGGGGGGCTGGAAAGGTTCAAGTTAGATTGTGGAAAGCTTTAATGCCAGCTTGAAGAATCTGCATTTTATTTTAAAGTTAAGTGGAAAGTCACTAAATGGGTTTGAGCAAGGGCATGATATGGTTAGAACTGTACCCTAGGAAGATGACTTTGACACTTGTCTGGGTATCTTCCCTTCCCACTACCCTTTTCAGCTTCCTTTTGTATGTTGTCTTTCCCCATTAAATTGTAAACTCCTTGAGGGTAGGAATTGTCTCTTTCATATTTGTATCCCCTGAACTTAGTGCAGATCTTGGCACATAATAAATGTTTATTGACTAGCAGGGATTATTTTGTTTTTGTTTTTGTATCCTTTGTAGCCTGGCACCATAGTAGGCTGTTAAATTGAACTGAGTTTCTTTCCCAGTGAATCACCAATCTTTTGTGTGAAGGATGTATTGGAAAGGGGAGAGACTGGAAATAGAAAGATCAATTAGGTCCAAATGAGTGGAGATGAGGGCCTGAACTAGGGGGTGGCTACATGTGAGTGGAGAAAAGGGGATGGGTAGAAGAGATCTTTTGGAGGTAGAATCTACAAGAATTTCCTACTGATTGTCTAATAGTGGGTGAGGGAAAGGAAATAGTCAAGGGTGACAAACAGGTTATATACCAGGGTGACTGGCAGGTTGTTATTGCCCTTGATAGGGATGAGATAGTATTAAGGAAGTATTTATTCAGAGGGAGCCATGATTCTTGGCAGTGTTGAGTTTGAGATGCCCATGGGATAACCCAAGTGGCAGTGTCTGTCAGGCAGTCGGTGATAAGAGATTAGAGTTCAAGATTAGAGTTCAGGATAAAGATAAAGGCCCGTGTTTTATGTCAGGGTGGGTAGATGGCTTTTTGAGTTACTGTGGTCAAAAAACTCAGCACCTAATAGCCAAACTTCTGGTGCAGATCTTTTCTATTTTTAACCAGGGTCTTGGTGTAACTGTAACTTAAGTTATTAGCTTTTCAGTGTCTTCAGATTGGGTCAGATAAGCAGTGAAGAGGGTCTAGCACATCCATGTAAGAGTGCTAATTTTGGTATGAATGTGTCTTTATCTGTTGAGAACTGTATAAATGCAAGCACCTCTTCAGGCTCTCCCAGAGTGCCTTGTACCACATCTACTCTCCATTTCTCTGTGATTTAGTGTGTAGATTAACTGTTCTTGTAATATCTCAGGTTACAGTTTTAAAGACAATTGTATGCAGAGTAACATTACCTAGTAGATATTTCTGAAAGGTTGTATGTAAATTGAATTTTTAAAATTAAATATAATTCGCACTTGAGCTTAGATGCCTTTGAAATTTATTCTATATAGAATTTAAGGTAAAGCAGAAAATTTTAGGATTTAGTTGTATGACTTAAACTATATACATATGAAGTCATTTTCTTTTCATTTTAGGAGTGTCTCATGAGGCACTGCTTGACTTAGCAAAGTTTCATTTTGGTAATTCTTTATCAGCACATGAAGGAGAAATACCAGCTTTGCCTGCCTGCAAATTTACAGGAAGTGAGGTAAATTCACAAGCCACCTAAGCCAGAATTTTGCATTGGTTTCCTTATAATATCAATTGATATATGTGCATAATATAGCTTATTAGTGAGCTAGTTAGATAGTGCTATATAAATGTTTCTTAATAGGAATGATAGCTGGGGACTTAAGTTCCAAAACAGCAAGAAGCATTTATTAAATGCTTACTGTGTGCTGGGCACTATGCTGAGTGCTAAGAATACAAATATAAGCCAAAAGATGGCTCCTGCCCTCAAGGAACTTAGTTTAATGGGAGAAAACAACACATAAGAGGGAGCTGGAAATAGAGATGGGGAGTAGGGAGGAGAAGTGTGAAGGTACCCAATGTGGGTGCATGATGGCATGGTGTTGAAGTCTGGAAAGTCAGAAGCACATAAATGGAGGTCCTGGGGGAAACTTGCCAGTGGTAGATTGGGGCCAGCATAGAAGAGGGATGTGCCAGGGTGACATTGCAGAGCAGCCATGGTAGTGAAATCTGGAGAGATAAGAAAACAGCCAGATGGAGACAGCTAGTGCAGTGGAGAGGTTCAGGGCAGTCAGTAATACTGAACTGCTTTTTGCTTTTAGCTATAGTATCAGTGTTAAACCATTTATAACTAAGACTTTTTTTCTTTTATCTTTGGTCAGAACTGTTTTATATTTTCTAGAGTATAAATTGACCATAGGAGATTTTTAAAGTCTTCTCCTATATTGCAATTCACTTATATGTCAGGTTTGCAGACAACTGAGCTCTCTTTACCCCAGAACTTTGCCTTTGATTTGTACTTGTAGCAGTAGCAAACAAGTAAAAGATATCCTTCTAGTCTCCACTTGTGGATAGCTATAAGCAGACAAAGGTGAGTGTGAGGTGAAACTTGGATGTATATGTGTGTGTAAACATATGTATACATATACATACACATATGTATGTATATATACACACACACAATCTTCAGCTTTCATGGAGGTAACACATTCCTAGAAAATGACGCAAAAGTAAAAAATATAAATATTGATACATTGAATTTATGGTTTTGAAATGGAGGTGTTAGGTTCCTGTGACCACCAAAAACTATAATCTCTTGTTAGAGATTGCTGAAAATATACTTTTTTGCATATAATTCTTTATAACAAAACACTAATTCTTAAAATAAGCACTTTCCCTAACACAGTAATCAAAAAATAACCCATAAAATATAGAAGAGAGAAGAGGAAAAGGGAGGGCAGGGGCTGTAATGTCAGAAGAATCCCAAAGTCAAAAAGGGAAAGGGGGACCTGACATCTCTAATCTCCCTTTCAGTTTTAATTGTTACCTGATGAAAAGCATATGTCTTGGGATGAGTCCTGGACCCCCATCAGAGCTTGGAACTCCTGTCTCAGGTTAGCTCTGCCTGGCATGGGAAGATACACAACTGCTGAAAACATGAACTTTTGAAATATTAAAAGCTTATTATAAAGCTTTTCCCATATTTGGACTTGCATTTTGCGTTTTACACTTTCTTAACTAGAGTCGTTTTTTCTTATCTTAATCTTAACTAGATTCGTGTGAGAGATGACAAGATGCCTTTGGCACACATTGCAATTGCCATTGAAGCAGTTGGTTGGTCTCACCCAGACACAATCTCTCTCATGGTTGCAAATACTCTGATTGGCAACTGGGATCGCTCTTTTGGAGGAGGAATGGTGAGTGATCCTAAAGGTGATTTTCCATTTTAAATAAGATTGATTTAAAAAACTATTCTTCCAAGGGTCAATCCTTTACTTCTTTTGTATGGTAGAATAGGTATTATGAATTTAGGCATTTAAAAAGTTAGACCTGTGAGCTGTGTCAATTTGTTTGCTACTTTTATTTACTTTTATACTTATAAGCCAGTTTTGATTTAAAAGAGTCTGAAACTGGTATTTTCAGCTCAATGGAAAACACTTTCTGCAAAGGAAAGGTAATAACTAATAGTTCAAAATAGTAAATGTCAGTTGAATGTAACAAACATTTATTAAGCACCTATTCTGTACAAAACACAAGGATATATAAAGACAACAAGGAAACAATTCTTACTTCAAGGAGCTTATATTACAACTTATTTCTGCTGTGGAATATACAGTTAAAGCTTATTTGAGGAATGAGAGTTTTGAAGATAGTGATTCCATGTTCCTGACAAAAAGTAGAAGGATATATGTGGTTTTTGTCCAGACCTTTAGGTTCTTTAGCTTAAGGGACTCCTGATATGAAAATTTCCTCAAACAATACATATTGGCAATTTGTCTATAATTTGTAGTCTTAGAGAATTGCCTAGAGGCTCTGAGAGTGTAAATATCTTGCCCATCATTGTATAGCTATATGTGTCAGAGACAATATTTAAAACCAGGATTTCATGACTCTAGTGCTGACCCTCTATCATGAGACCTTGCCTATCCAATATTTGCTTTGCAAGATATGATGACATATTAGAATCCAAATTTTCTTCTTCTGTCATAACATGTTATGTAGCTTAAAAGTATGATTGAGAAGGGATGGAGCCAAGATAGCAGAATAAAGGCAGGTACTCACCTGAGCTCTCCCAAATTCCCCTCCAGACAGTATTAAAATAATGCCTCAAAATGAATTCTAGAGGGGCAGAACCAGCAAAAGGACAAAGTGAAACAATTTTCAAACTCAAGGCAGCTTAGAAGGTTGTCAGGAAAGGTCTGTCTCATTGAGGTGAGAGTGGAGCACAGGCCACGTCCAGCAAGCCAACAGCATGCCTTGGGAGTGACTGAATTGGTGGCTGCAGTGGCTTCCAGAGTTCTTAGCCACAGACAGTAAGAGGCTCAGATAGCTGGTCAGGGGACTCTTTGTTGGTACTGGGAGCAGAACTCGTATCGCATGACTCATAAGCAGTCACAGGGCAGGGAAGACCACTGACAGGAGTGGGGACCCTGGTCACAGTTCCAAGACAGAAAAGAGTGCTTGTGGTTTTTCATAGACCAGACAGAGCACGGACCAGGAGAGCAGTGACCATACCTCTCTATAGACCATACCACCTTGGAAAACTTAAAAAACACACCACACACACACACACACACACACACACAACACACACACACACACACACACACACACACACACACACAGACACCCCTCCCCTTGAACTAGTTCTGAACACAGCAGCTTGGGACTCAAGCTTGGGACAGTGCCCCCTACAACCTGGGAACGGAGCCCAATTAATGAGTAAACAACCACCAAAAAAAAGAGCCTGACTGTAGAAAGTTACTATAGTGACAGGGAACATTAAAACACAAACTTGGAAGAAGACAACGAAATCAAAGCATCTATATGCAGAGCCTCAAAGAAGAATGTGAATTAGTCTCAGGCCCTGGAAGAGCTCAAAAAGGATTTTAAAAATCAAGTAAGAGAGGTAGAGGAAAAATTGGGAAAAGAAACAAATGATGCAAGAAAATCATGATAAAGAGTCAACAGTTTGCTAAAGGAGGCACAAGAAATACTGAAAAAAGTAACACCTTAAAAAAACAGAATAGACCAAATAGTAAAAGATACACAAAAATCCACTAAAAAGAAGACTTCCTTAAAAAGCAGAAATGGCCAAATGGGAAAATACAAAAATTCACTGAAGAAAATAATTCCTTGAAAAGTTGAATTGGCCAAGTGAAAAAAGAGGTACAAAATCTCACTGAAGAAAATGACACCTTAAAAGTTAAAATTAGGTAAGTGGAAGATAATGACTCCATGAAACATCAAGAAATAATAAAGCAAAATCAAAAGAATGAAAAAAAATAGAAGAAAATATGAACTATATAATTGAAAAAACAACTGACCTGGAAAATAGATTGGGGAGAGAGAATTTTAAGTTATTGGACTATCTGAAAACCATGATCAAAAAAACAAAGATCATAGAAATCATATTTCAAGAAATTATCAAACTGCTCTGATATCCTAGAATCAGAGAGTAAAATGGAAATTGAAAGAATCCACCAATTGCCTCCTGAAAAGACATCCTAAAATAAAAACTCCCAGGAATATTATAGCCAAATTCCAGAGCTCTTGGGTCAAGGAGAAAATATTGCAAATAGTCACAAAGAAACAACTGAAATATAGAGCCGCAGTTGGGGTGACATAAGATTTAGCAGCTTCTAAATTAAAGAATCAGAGGGCTTAGGATATGATATTCTGGAGGACAAAGGAGCTAGGATTACACCCAAGAATCACCTGAGCAAAACTGAATATAATCCTTCAGTGGAGAAAATGGATATTTAATGACTTTCAGACATTTCCTGATGAAAAGACCGGAGCTGAATAGAAAATTTGATTTCAAATAGAAGATTCAAGAGAAGCCTAAAAAGGTAAACAGGAAAGATTTCAAAAGGGATGCAATAAGGTTAAACTGTTTACATTCCTATGTGGGAAGATGATACTTGTAAATCCTAAGAACTTTATCATTATCAGAACAGTTAGAGAGGACACAGGTGTGAGTTGACTATGATATGCAAAAAAAATAAGGGGTGAGAAAAAGAGATGGGTTGGGAGGTGGGGTAAGGGAGAGGTAGAATGGGGTACATTATCTCACATATGAAAGAAGTACAAAGGAGCTTTTATAGTAGAGGGAAAGATTGAGTGGTGGGCAACACCTGAACATTATCATCATTGGAATTTTCTCAGAGAGGGAATAACACCACATACTCATTTGGGAATAGAAATTTATCTTACCCTATAGGGAAGTACAAGGGGAGAAGGATAGGAGAAGGTGGAGAGATGATAGAAAGGAGGGCAGACTGGGGGAGGTGGTGGTCAGAAGCAATACACTTGTGAGGAGGGACAGGGGAAACGGAGACAAAAGAATGATAAATGAGAAAAGCAGGATGGAGGGAAATATACAGTAATTATAACCATGAATGTGAATGGGATGAACTCTCCCATAAAACAGGAGATTGCAGAGTGGATTAAAAACCAGAATCCTATAATATGTTGTTTATAAGAAACACACCTGAAGCAGAGACATACACACAGAGTAAAGGTAAGGGGCTGGAGCAGAATCTACTGCGCTTCAGGTGAAGGAAAGAAAACAGGAGTAACAATCGTGATCTCAGACAAAACAAAATCAAAAGTAGATCTAATTAAAACAGATAAGGAAGGAAACTATATTTTGCTGAAAGGTACCGTAAACAATGAAGAGTATCAATACTAAACATACGCTCAAATGGTATAACATCTAGATTTTTGAAGGAAAAGTCGAATGAGTTACAGGAGGAAATAAATAATAAAACTATACTAGTAGTAGACTTTAACTTTTTACTTTCAGAGCTAGATAAATCTAAACAAAAAATAAGCAAGAAAGACTTTTAGGAGGTGAATAAAATTCTGGGAAAGTTAGATATGATAGATCTCTGAAGAAAATTGAATGTGAATAGGAAGAAATATATCTTCTCAGCAGTACATGGCACCTACACAAAAACGTGAGGACATTAAAAACCTCACAACCAAATGCAGAAATAGTAAATATATCCTTTTCAAATCACAATGTAATAAAAATTACATTCAATAATGGGCAATGGAAAGATACATTAAAAATTAATTGGAAATTTAATAATCTAATCCTAAAAAATAAGTGAATCAAAGAATGAATCATAGAAACAACTGATAATTTCATTAAAGAAAATGACAACAATGAGACAGCATACCAAAAATTATGGGATGCAGCCAAAGTGGTACTTAGGGGAAAAATTTATATTCCTAATTGCTTATATCAGTAAAATAGAGAAAGAGCAGATCATTGAATTGGGCATGCAACTAAAAAAAGAACTAGAAAAAGGACAAATTAAAAATCCCTAATTAAACACCAAATTGGAAATCCTAAAAATCTAAGGAGAGATTAATAATATTGAAAGTAAAAAACCATTGAATTAATAAAGTAGAAGATGGTTTTATGAAAAAAACAATAAAATAGATGAAGCATTGGTTAATTTAATTAAATTTACCATCCAGAAGAAGGAAGGAGAACCAGCAAAAGAATAATTGGAAAGGTAGGAGAACCAGAAGAGTGTGGTGTCATGGAAATGAAAGGAGAGAATTTCAGGAATAAGTTGTCAACAGTAGTGAATTTGAAGATAAAGGGGTCACAGGTGACCTTTGAGAGAATAGTTTCAGTAAATGGAAACTAGAGCATTTCAAGGCGTTTAGGAATGAGTACTGTGGTTTGTGAAGAAGTGCACAGAATACAGACTATTCTTTCCAGAAGTTTGACAGTAAAGGAGGAGAAGATGATAGGTTTAAGAGGATATAGCTAGGGTCAAGGAAAAATATTTTTATTTTTATGCTAACAAAACTCTTTGCGGCCTGTCAGTGATCCTAGTGTTATTTCTTCTTACAGAATTTGTCTAGCAGGCTTGCCCAGATCACCTGTCATGGAAACCTCTGTCATAGCTTCCAGTCCTTCAACACTTCCTACACAGATACAGGACTGTGGGGACTCTATATGGTTTGTGAGCCAGCTACTGTTGCAGACATGATAGACTTTGTTCAGAGAGAATGGTGAGAAAATAATACCAGATAAATGAATTGAAATCTTGTTGGGGTTTATCAGTTAGGTTTAGAGTTTTTAATTTACTGTATTGCTAATGTTATATTTCAACCATTTGTTGAATAAAGAATTAGACTCGGTGGGGAGATCTAATCCAGATTTTAAGGACTGCCTTTTGTTTCTCTAGGCAACACTTAATTTTTCTTAAAAATGAACCAGTTTTCAGATAATTAAAAAAGTAATTTATGCATGCTCTTACATACCTTGCCAAAGACAGCTCCCTGGAATAGTCCACTAGATACATCGTTTTAAATTGACGACAAACAGCAATTAATTACTACTATTTGTTTTCAGCTAGTTCTGAATATACATAATTGTCTAGCTCTCATCTCTTTGCCTTGTCCACAAAGATAACAGGAGAGAGAGGCTTTGTTTAATTCTAGGTAATCTTTGAAGAAGTAGGGAACTGTAGCTGTGGAGTGTAATCTAAACTCTTAGACTTATTTTGGTTGGTTTTCCTGAACAGCTTTTTTTGTCTTTATCTTTTATTTTATGGTATAAGGTATGACTTTTGGGAGAAGGGAGGAAAAAAGAATATATTAAAAAATGAAAGTGATATAAAAACAAAATATGTCAATTAAGAAAAAAATTAGTGAATGGTTATTTATTGATCTCTCATTCTTTTAGTCAGTAAGATCAACCTTATGACTACTCTCTTCTGTTTTTTTTAAACTTGGACAAATATTTTAATTCCATTGGTCCTATAGTACTTTTTTGATTTTCTGACATCTTGCACAGATAACAGTGCCTCAGCAGTGTTCTTTCAGTGTTCTAGGATGTAGTTCATTTGGGCCTAGTCAAATTTATGGCAACTAGTACTCTTACTGTAGCTTCTTACCTTGGGAAACAACTTACTATTATTTATTCTCGTTAGCAGAGAACAAGCAAAATAATCATTGTTATTCTTCCTTCTGCCTTTATTATTCTATCCCATCCATCATTCATTTCCATCAGCTAAAAAAATCCTCACTTTTTTGTGTTCTTATCATTCCTTGCCCACCTCATACTGAGCCTTAATGCACCTGCTGTTTTTAAGGACTGTGCCAGGTCATTGTCTTTATCCTCCTTTCTGACTCTTGCTTCCATCTTTTGTACATTTAAAAAATCTGAGTTGATCTCTGTGCAACCAGATCAGCCTCTTGAGATAATTTTCTCTTCATCTGAATCAGTTCTTTGTGCCTTCAGAATTTTTGTGAACTTTCCCACCCCTCCAGGGTTAAATGCCTGTGTAGAATTTTAAAACATTGGATCCTTTCCATCCTTTCCTTGAACTCTTTCAAATTCGGTTTTTGAAAGACAAGGGTGCCCAGTTTACTCTACTTTATCACACATTCTAAAATGGAGCAGTCATTTTCCCCAAGGTGCCCTTATCTCTGCTATAGTGATCAGTTTCTCCTTATTCGTGAGAATCAGAACCAGAAGAGTGGTTCCTGTTGTTAGTTCCTTCACCCTTTCTAGTATGAAATTATCATCAGAGCAAATTAAAAAAATTAATAGGGGGACAGCTAGGTGGCACAGTGGATAGAGCACTAGCCCTGGAGTCAGGAGGACCCGAGTTCAAATTCATCCTCAGACACATAACACTTACTAGCTGTGTGACCCTGGGCAAGTCACTTAACCCTCATTGCCTAGCCTGCCCCCCCTCACCCCCAAAAAAAGGAATGGGAAAAAAAACCTACTGTGCTTTTGAGAGAATGGAAGCTCTAGCAAAGTAAGAATATCAGTGAGCCAGATGTCTGTATAACAGGTTAATTGGCTTGTCTCAGGCTTTTTTTCCCCCTGAACTCCACTACGTCTCCTCTTTGTGTCTAGGTCAAAGGTCCTTAATGTGGGCTCTGTGAACTTTTAACATTTTGATATCTTTATTTCAGTATCATTGACTTTCTGTTTTATGTATGACATTCTAAAAAGAGGTCTTTAGACTTTACCAGACTGCCAAAGGGACCCATGATTAAAAGAGATTAAGTCCTAGTCCAACCCCTCAATTTATAAATGAGAAAGCTGAAACTCAGAGGTGAATGATCTGACATCACAACACTGATTAGAAATAGACTCGTCTAGAACCAGGTCCTTTTAACTTCCCAGCTCAGTGGCCTTTCCACTGGAAGAAACTACTTCATAGCTGTTAGCTAGCCCACTGTAATTTCAAGTACTAGACTTTATTATCCACATTTGACAGATGAGGAAACTGAGAAATTAAGTGATATGGCTACTTAGCTATGTATAAGAGGTGAGATTTCAGTGTTCTATCCACTACACTAGTACCCACATACCTGTCGCTTCTGTTTCTTTCATTTTCTCCCAAATGCTTTCCACCCTGCTTCTGGGATTTCTTCATTTAGATATAGGTGATGTGTAGTGCTTTAATGTTTGCAAAGCTCTTAACATAATTATCTCATTTATTCCTCAACACATCCTTATGAAATAAAGGTATTTGTCATAGGTAGGATTTGAACCCAAGTTTCCTAGAGTCTTAAATTCATTGCTTTTCACACATCTCCATTTCTTAATATTCACTACTAGTGCAACCTCATTGTACCTAATCCATCCAGAAATTGTCCATCCCACCAATTCTCAAATTTGCTTCTTGTGCCAATTTACCTTGTTATCCATGAGGCATGTGTTCTCCTGAATTTACAGGCATCTCTACTGCATTCTTTTGATTAGATTTCCAAGCCTCTAGGCAGTTTTGTTTTTTATCAGACCCTTTCATTAAGTACACTCCGTCTCTGGCTAGAAGCTTGTCATTCCATTATTTTAATGGTCCAAGAATCCAAATCCTATTTTCACATACCAGTCTTAACTGTATTTTCATTACCAAGTCTGCCTTTCTCCTGGAGAGGGCAGCAGTGATGAAAATACTAAAGTATTTATTTCTAAGAGGGCTTCACTTTTCTTGCCTCAGACTTTGTATCCTTTAGCAGTGTTTTCAAGATCCTTCTGGCAACATTTGTGCTCACTGGAATCACCAGAAGTGGGGAATAGGTTTCCTAAGGGTAGCAAAGTTCTCAGGCCCAGGAAAGTGTATCAGGCCCCTCTCCTGGGGATGTGATTTTTTAAAAAGGATATTAAAATACATTTTAAAGTACTACTTATGTTCAGTGACATAAGAGTCATATTCTTGCATTAGATGTTTTATGAGACACATGATGAAAAGCATTCTGGGATGATATAACAACCGATTCAAGGTGTCTATTATTTGTTCACAATGTTTAGGATACGGCTCTGTACAAGTGTCACTGAAAGTGAAGTTGCCCGAGCTAAGAATCTTTTGAAAACAAATATGCTGCTGCAGCTTGATGGTAAGGCTGAAGGCTGGAGTTTTATTTTTATTTGGGGTGTGTTTTGGGCAACTAGATTTTTATTCTTTTGATAGGTTCAACTCCAATCTGTGAAGATATTGGTCGGCAAATGTTATGTTATAATCGGAGAATTCCCATTCCCGAGCTTGAAGCAAGAATTGATGTAAGTTCTTAGGTCTAAAGAATTTCATTTGCCTAAAACAATTTTGATTACTATTTTGAAATCTGATACATTGTCTTATTGCTCAGGGTCCCTTAATAAGCAGATTAAGAATTTTACAGATAAGTTCTGTCTAGAACTAGAGTTCACCTTCAAAGTAAGCATTTCTTGTTTTTACTATAGGCAGATCCAAATATGTTACATTACACCTGCTTTTTTCCCCCTCTTTTAGGCTGTTGATGCTCAGAATATACAAGATGTATGCACAAAATATATTTATAATAAGCACCCTGCCATAGCTGCTGTTGGTAAGCTTTTCTTCCCCATTTTTTCCTAGAGAGGAAACTAGTATTAATTATGTTTTAACTATTATTTCTTTAAAATTTTTAGGTCCCATTGAGCAACTACCAGATTACAAGAAAATCTGCAGTGGCATGTATTGGCTTCGGGAATAAGATTTTAATCAAATGATTTTGAAAATGTTACTTATAAAACCTGAGAAATTCAGGCTTTTCATCTTAGAAATCAAAATGTTTTTGGAACCTAGCAGGAAAATGTGAGATGGTATTTGTATCAGGCTTTTAAAAGGTAATTACAAATAAGGAAACCTTACAGAGTCTCAATCAGAGACTGTGGAGTTTTTTGTAATAGGTAAGGAAGGGAAAGTGCAGTAAATACCACCAGCACCTATTTCTATTAGAGGAATTGTCAGTAAGCTAAAAACACATGATTCGAGATACCACTAGAGTTTTTATAAGTTTAAGAATGAAAATTTATACAGTATTTGCAGTTTTATTATAAAAACAAACACAACAAAGATTGTCAACTTTAGTCATTTCTTGGCTCTACCAGCATTCATCACTTGTTCTTGAGCAGCCTTTTTTGCTTTTACCATTTCGACAAGTTCCTAGAGAAAAAGTAATAAAGGTTAATTGAAAGTTTAAACTTTAAACTTCTATTTAAGAATTTCAGGGAGATTTTGTGGGGATAATATGGAATATAGTTCATACTTTACATTTATTGTTCATGACCTCCAAAAAGGATCATTAGAGGAAATACAAATAGAGGTATCTGGGTTGGCAAAGTAAAGTTTAGATTTAGTAAATCTGCTGTTGTATTCCTGCTTATGGGTAAAATAAGTTTTGGTCGATAGTACAAACACATCTCCTTTTTCTGATAAAATTCAAGAAATATTTATTTAAATGCCTATTGTGACAGTACCTCTGGCTTTTGAGATGACAACTTGAATAGCAGTGGCCCATCTTCTGTTGAAAAGCCACTTTTGGGGATATTCCTTGGAAAGCCATCTAATTTAGGGCCACACTTAAAAGCTTCTTTATAATACCAAGCTTATGCTATGCTGGCATAGTCTTTGAGAAACCAGGGTTACCTTTCTGCCACAATGAGATACTGGAGTAGGACTCTGGAATCTAAAAATATTTTCTAGAAAAATGGTTTCTGGAAGGTTGGCACTTGGACATGAGGCTCTTCCTTGTAGTGCAACCAGCCCCAAAAGTCTGTTGTGAATTAATGTTACTTTACTGTAAATTACATGTCTTTGTAATGACTTTTTTAGTACCCTGAAGCCTAACAAGACAACAGTATGCAATTTAACTTAGAATAAAATTTGTGAGTTGCTGAATTACATATACACACACACACACACACACACACACACACACACACACACACACACACACACACACACACACACACACGTATGTATACACACACTACCTTATATCGTTTCATACAGTCCTTTTTTGATCGTCCAGGCACTGCAGAAGCTATTTTTTCCCATCTCTCAGGCGTATTCACAGGATATGTCTTCAAAGCTTGTTCTAAAAGTTTTTGTTCTTCAGTTGTCCAAGGTGTGAAATCTGTACATGGACCTAAAAAAAAATTTATTTGAAAAAACTTTATAGGATGAGTCTTACTAGTAATGACTATTTGATAGAATATTATGGTGAAAGATTCTTGTCTCCTAGATTAATTTTTTATTTATTGAAATGATATTACATTTTTTATATATGCAATTATAAATAAAAACATTACTTTTGGCTTGCTTTAGATAGTGAGTTTTATTTCACATATCTTTTGATCTGCCCTTAAAAGTTAAAGAAACTAAAACAAAAGACAGTAAGACTATTTGCCTATTTTAATACAGGCAGCTGCTGTGGGAAAAAAAAAGCCTCACTAGAATAAATTCGAAGTTCTTACCTGGACTATGTTAGAAACTGCTTAAAGACTTTTACCAGTGTTCATTATAAAGGTCATACAGTTTGTCTTAAATTGACAGAGTGAGACAATCAAAAATAGAGGTAGGAAAAATCTTTCTTTTCAGATACATACTAGGCGAAAATGTCAATTTCCTTTGTTCTGTAAGTATGGATGACAGGAAAAATTAGAACCCTTAAACTTTGTGCCCCAATGACTCATGTGAAAAAAGTAATTTACAAGTCTAGAGAAATCTTACATTGGAAAATAAGCTATAGTAATACTCTAGTGTTAAAATAATCTATTATAAAAATAAAACTATCATTTGAAAGGCAAGGACAACAAATCAGTCTGCTTATATATAATCCCGCCCCCCCCCAAAAAAAAACAAGGACTAAAAATCTGCAATGAACCTAATTGCACTGTATTATTCAATTAGGTGAACATTTTATTCTCCTAATATTGTAACTACAGGGCCTATTCCTAGAACTGAAGAGATTTTGGCAGCCTGGAGATATAGATGTACCCATCAATTATTTCCCATCTAATTAGAAAGTTAAAAAAAAAAAAGCATTACCTTCAAACCGCTCTGAAGGTGCTGCACTGTCTGACTGAGGCACAGCTCCATGTTCCTTTTTAAATTTATCAAAAGCTTTTTTGTTTATATCATCTTTTTGATGAGGGTCTGAGAGGAAAGAAAAGCTTTATTTATTACATCCTGAGCTACTTCAAAATCAATGCTCATGCAACAATGAATTCTCACCTAGAATTTACTAAATTTAATTTACTAAAATGTACTTGATATGACAAATCAGTTTCTTCCCTTAAAATGATTTCACTAGAAGTTTTAAATACCCAGTTTCTGAAGACTCTTTGCCTTGCTGATGACATCTTTTGCAGTTCTCTTTATTCCAGAAGAAGAGTGCAGGTTCATATAATTGGCAATAACTTCCCACCTATCACAAGATAAAAAACAGAAGCAATATTGTTTGGGTTTTTATTGTAGTAAAAACTACTTACAGGATTTCACCAAACTGGACAAACTGGCTTAAATTATTACTATTACTTGAAACTATTACCACTCAAATGCTTTGATCTTTATATTCTACAAAACCTCATCCAATATGTTTTAGTGCATAACAAAATCTTAAAATATTGTGTATTATTTTTACATAAATTGCACATTTCCATATGTTGTCATAATAAGTGTATAATTTCATTTAGAATCTGAACAGAAGAGTCTTAATTGGCTATCTGACTAGGGGCCAGCTGTAAAGAAAGCCTGTCTAGTTTTGAGAAGTGAAACAGCATTGAGGGGATAAGTCTCTTACTACTGAAGAGAAAACACAATAAAGTACATAAAACACAAGGTTTCAGTTGTATTGTGGTATAAGCCAAAAATCTATTTATCATGATTTCTTCTGAGATACTAGTATGAAATGTTTACTTTATAATATTTAAACATTTTAATAAAACCAGTTTAGGATTCACACTGGAATTTTCTTTATGAGAACACTGCCTATTTTGGATTAGACTCTAGTATAGGGTGGCTAGGTCTAGGTTCACATCAAGAGGATTGCTTGAATGCTTTTGTTCTCCAACTATATGGATTAAAAAATAGCCTGGAAGTATAGACTCTCATTGCTAGATTCTAGTAAGTGTATTTTGAATAGTATTTTAGTAAAAGAGGTACCTTGAATTAGTTCCAGCAGGGAAAAGATTCACAGCTTTAATTAATAACTGCAAGTCATCTTCTGACCAATTTTTACTGCTACTGCCACCTCCACCAGTTGATTTCTCAGTACTCTTAGATGCTTGACGTATACGAGCCTCAGCTTCTTCCTTTTCTTTTCTTATTTGCTCATTTATTTCTTCTATCTACATGAAGGATAGGTAAAGATCAACTGCTTAAAACTAACAGTTATACTAGACAATTTCTGGTGTAGACTTAAGGTAAACTATTTGGTGCTACACCTACCATTGTCATCCCAGGTTTCCAAGATAATCTACCATGCTAATTCCCAACCTGGGAACACCTCTCATTTGCTTTCCATATACTTGCTTCCAGGCTGAAGAGAACTTAAGCAAATTTGTTCCTTGACACATTCAGTAGAGTGCTCTTGCCAGCAGTTATTCTGGCCTCTTTTTAACTTCCTAGAGTCGGACTTGTCTCTACAATCTTATTCTAAAATAACTGCCTCATACTTTACTGAGATAAAGGCCATTCAATTGTTCCATCTCATCCTCTTGGTCTATCTATCCTCCCAATGGCGCTTCAAGTCTCAGAGACGTTTCTCTTAATAACCATTAAAACTCATCCTAGAGGGCAGCTAGGTGGCACAGTGGATAAAGCTCTGGCCTTGGAGTCAGGAGGACTTGAGTTCAAATCTGACCTCAGACACTTGGCACTTGGGGCAAGTCACTTAACCCCAATTGCTCACCAAAAAAAACCAAACCACAAAATAACAACTAATCCTAGTACCTATGCTATTAATCTAGTCCTTTCTCAAACCTAAAGGGATCTTGTACCCAACACATTTGTACTCTCTGCATCTTTTTTAATCACCAGCCTCTCCATCAGGCCTTTTAAAAAATGCATATATTTTGCATAATGCTTTGATTCATCTTTCTAAAGCATGCATCCTGCACTCCTTCTCAGACCTATACATTTTTATTGCAGTTCAAGGCTCATTCTTATCTAGCTTTATCTCCTAATCGGCCTCATCCAACATTTCTCCTGAACCCAAACTCTAATCAAGCCATTCTCACTGCCCTCTGTTCACTCCCACCCCTGCTCCATGGTTTAGTGGTTCTGACTAAAAAAGGTCCTCCTCCATCCTTTAACACCTATTCTACCTTAGCCTTCTCAAAAAACAGCCTTCCAACTTCTCTATTACTACTGTGGGCAAGTCACTTTAACCTTTCTAACTCTATTTACTCTCCAGTAAATATTTTGATGGTTCTCATCTATCACATGAAGGGTTAATAGTGCCGATTACAATCCCCACCTCATCCTGTGCAACTCTTGTCTATGTCATGCCAAAAATCCTCCCCACTGTGTTTGGGGGAGGAAATCATGGAAGAGGGGAAGGTTCTAGATCTCTTAACATTAGATTGATGTCAGTGCTACCTGCAGGCTGTCCATTAGTTTTTAATATAAATGAATAACCTACTTTTTTCATCATATATAGCTGTTGGATGTCCTTTATATGCTGCTGTTTCTGTAAAATTCTTTGTTGGTAGTATACTGCCACCTACCCACTGTCTCCTTTCCCCCCATCCTCTTCAATTATCATTTGTGTAACCTTCAGCTTTAATTCTTTGAATACCATGGTATTGCATGACTACTAGCTATATAACATCACTAAAATCCAAGATGGAAGTGACCACAGAGGCCACCTAATCCAGCCAGTAAGAATCTGAACAAGAATTACTTGTTTGTCTCCATCCAGTAAGTCATCAAACCTTCCAAACTAGGTGAACAGACTTCTACACTTAAAACATAAAATCCCCATAGCTACTGGTTTGAGCAGATGTCTGAACACCTGGATGACCCATCTCAATTTAATAAATATTATATTTAACTTTCATACTTCTTTGTCTGGTTTTAGATTTTGTTTTGGCAAAAAATACAGGTTCATGTTCAGGAATCACATACTACCTCAGTTTTGAAATCACCACAGAAGTATTTATGTTAAAAATATGGAACTCTGATTTAGGGAGATGAATGAGTTAATTAAAATTTCCCAAAGCCAATCAAGCCCACTTGTAAATTCTGGATCCATCTCCAACCCCATATACACTTATCTATATATAAGATTCTATATGTGTCTATACCTACATTTAATGAAATATTAAATGAATTTAATAAGAAATATTAAATTATTTCATGTAAATATCAAATCAGTGGCTTATATGGACAACAGACTTATTCATTTGGTTTTTCCCATGTAGATAGGTTGAACTCATCTAAGTCATTTATGTGAAATGACTTAGATGTGTGTGTACACATACATACATATACACATGTATAAGCACATATATAAATAAATTCTTATATAGGCAAATATATGTTGCCATTATACATACATATGCTTGTATATGTTTCTATCAGACTTTCTTGTATATAATTTATTTCAGTTGTTTACTTTTACTTCCTCATGTAGCACTGTAGAGCAAACTACCATATATATTTATATGTATGTGCATGTGTATATACATGCACATATATAAATATATAAAAAAATTAGGAAGCTCTACAGAGTTAACTAATAATATTTACAGGATGTTTTAAGTTTTGATGCAATTAGCATTGTCATCTGCAAAGAAGGGAACATCTGGAGGACTGCTCCATCCCTCTTTTAAACCAGACATCCTACATGCCATTTGGAAAACACCTCTGACAAGCATATGCCTCCCCTTTCCCTATTTTGGAGGGTCAATGAACAAAGTTATCTCCACGTTAAATCTTTAAAGGAATCTCATATGATTTTGAAACGTGCAAGAGGGCACTTAGCCTTTAAAGGGCATTTTATCCTTTTCATACCTTCACCAAAGATACCCCCATGAATGTGTTCTCAGAGATTTTGTAGAAATGGAAAATTATCATTTGGATTGGTAGTTATTGGTATTTTTCTGTCATTATTTTGGGTAATAATAAAGTCTATGATTTTTTCCAAGCATTTGGAAACTGGGTTCTTATTTTACTTCTGTTTTCTCTGGCAAGCAAAATGACCCTTGCACTAGAAATGACAGAACAAAAATAGCTAACAAGGAATTGATATCCAAGATAAATAAGAACATAGTAAGAGTCTAGATGAATTCAAGTTACCTCGCCCAAATGAACCATATCTTTGGATATTTAAAAAATTTACTGGCTGACTGACATCTGAAAGACTTATAAGAATGGAAGTTATATTGATGGAGTAGAAGGGCAAATACTGCTCCAATTTTCAAAAAACAAGAACAGTTTGCCAATGAGTATCTTCAACGAATACCTAGAAAAAACAGCAATTACAAAAAGCCAGCCTGACTTCATCAAAAACAGGTCATGCTAAACTGAATGTATTTCCTATTTTGACTGTTACTAAATAAGTAGGTCAGGGCCCCTAAACAGTCTTCTTACATATTATTTTCTTCATTTATGTCTTTATGGTTCAGTCATCTTAGTCTATTTGCTGTTTTTTACATTCAGTATTCTATTTCTCTTCAGCTGGTATGGAAATAGCCAGGGCTATTTCCATACCTAGAACACTTTTTATTTCTTCATCTCTGACTCTTAGAATCCCTGTCTACTTCCAAGACTCAATTCAAGGACCACTTCCTGAAAAGCCTTTCCCCATATGTTAGCACCTTCCCTTTCTATGATTACTTTATATCTGTTTTTTGGAGGTAATCATTTATATGCCTATAAAGGTACACATATTGTTTCATGTTATATATACATGGACATATTTTTTATATACTGTGTTTTTTCTTTTTCTTTGTATCCCTTAGCACTTGTGCCTGACACAAAGTAAGTGCTTACTAACTGAATGATGGATATAATTTAACTAGAATTGAGCAAAGCATCTGACAAACTACCTCATATGTAGAAAAGATGGAGAGATGTTGACTAGACAATGATACAATTAAATTATGAAGTGATGGAATGGCTGGACTCAAAGACCAGTCATTAATTGCTTCATGTTAACTTGGCAAGTCTTCTACTGAAGTGTCCCAGGGATCTATGCTTGGCCTGGTGCTATTTCACATTTTCAACAATAACTTGAATTAAGGAAGGTATGCTCATTGTAGGCTGCATAAAAGTGGAGCGATAGCTGACATGATGAAAACACATGAAAAGCCTTATATTCACATTTTACAAGTCAATTTCAGGGTCAGGATGGGGTAAGTCAGACAGCAATTTGTCTGAAAAAGATTTGGAAAACTGCAAGCTCAATGACTCAGCCACATAATACGACAGCCCAAAATGCTAATGTGATTTGTTTCAGCTGTTTTAAGAGGCAAAGTACTGTGTCCTGTTCAGGCTAGCTATGGATTATTGCATTATATTCTCAGGGCCACATTTAAGAAAGACATTGATGGTTGGTTGGCTGGTTGTTCTTCATTTTTTTTTTTAAAGGCAATTCGGGTTAAGTGATTTGCCCAGGATCACACAGCTAGTAAGTGTCGAGTGTTTGGTCTGAGGCCAGGTTTGAACTCGGGTCCTCCTGACTTCAGGGCCAGTGCTGTATCCACTGTGCCACCTAGCTACCCCCTATTCTTGAAGAGGACCAAAATGACATCACTATGTTAGAATCAAATTACAATGTGTCCAACTGTGGCTGATCAGACCAATTTGAGCTTGGTCTACCAGGTCAGCCACAAATGGTCCACATGAATATTTGTAGATTCTCTAAATTTACTTGTGCTGTATTGCTCTTGAGCTACTGTGATTCTGCTTTGCTCATAGAGTACAAAGCCTTCTTTGATGTGGGTACACCATTTCGGGCAGTCCTTTGCCAATGTCTCCCATGTCATGCAATCAATTCCAAAGTTCTTCAGAAAAGACACTGACAGAAACTTTAAAGGAAGGCAATCAGAATGATGATGAGCCTTGAGTCTGGGTAACAGATAGAGTAAAGGAACTAGAGCTGTTTTAAGATTTCAGGAGATACAGGAGCATCATGTTCAAGTATCTAAAAGATTTATATGGAAGTGGGATTAGACTTGTCTTTGTTGTCACAGGGCAGAAACAGGAGCAGTGGGTAGGAGTGGCAAAGAGACAAATTCAAGCTTGACTTAGGAAAAACTTGCTTACATTTAGTTATCCAAAAGCAAAACAGCCTTCCTTGAAAAGCAATAGGTACATCATCTCCCCCACCCCTCTTCCCCTGCCTCATTAGAGACCTTAAAGCAGAGCCCAGATACTTCTTGGGTACATTATAGTTAGGGTTTACTTTAAGGTAGGGGAAATGCCCCCTAAGTCCCTGTGAGCTTCAAAATACCATGCTACCCTCAGAAATACTGTTTCTATCATAGACTTCCCCTGTACATAAATGGTTTATTTCAGCTGTTCTAGCTCTGTTTTCTTTAGTATTACTTTTACTTCCTCATGTAGCATTGTAGAGGCTGTGATGCTGTCTGAGTGTGATGGCTCAATTCTCACTGTTGGAGAAAATAATTGATCATAGAAACTTTAACATACCTTTTCAACTTGTGTTTGTTTTTCTCCCATTTCATCCTGAAATGCCCTTGGGATTATCTGGTTTAGTTGTGTCCCTGGCCAAGTTTTCTTTTAAAGTTTGTTTTTCCCTCTACTCACCACCTTATGAGGTGACCCTGCTTATCATCCTCCTAGGACGATATTTCACCAAGTTTCACAATGTAGGAACCAAAGGTGCCTTTGACTGGCCTCACTCTCACTTATCTTCTGGCAGAGGTATTTCAAGGTACTCTTACTATCCTTGGGCAACTGATTTGTATTGTTTAAGTTTCCTCAAGAATGGTGATAGTCAGCACTGATGTTTGTTCTTTCAACCACTTTCCATTTTTCAGTGTCAATAACTTGTTTCAATATATCCAGCTGGAGTTCACTCAACAGAAGACTCTATCTTCTTGTTTTAATTCTTCTAATCTGGTATTGATTTTGATCTTTGCTCTCTAATAAGTCAATGATCTGACTATATAAACAGCTGATTCAGATCTCACGTCACTAACTAGTCATTTCTTCTCTCCTAAGGTAGAATTCACTTAATGTTTTTTTGTGATGTTATTTGGTGCTCACCGTATCCGTGTCATACAACTCTCTTCTTGAAGGAAATATTCATGATATTTAGGTGTGAGGCTTTCATATAGTCTATAAACTTTTGACTTTTCTCATTTCTTAGTCCTGAACCATGTTTTTCAACTTATTTTTTTGCAGCTCTTCTTATGTCCACTTTTGCAGAGAAGCCACCGAGTATTACAATATTACATTCACTTTATATGGAGAATATTAAATTCTTCAGGGAATTCTTTCATCTCCTGTCCTCTGCAACAGATGCTGATGCATAAGTTGCAATTATCTTCATGGTAGTTTTTTTTGCAAATGTTCATCATGAGTTCTGTTAATACAAAATGACCAAGTATTCCCAGTTTCTTGTTGCCTATGGATGAATAATAAATCAAATGCTTCAAGTCCTTAATAGATCTCTTCATACCATTCTTTTATTTATCTTTAACTACAACTTTATTTTGTCTTCTGGTTTCATTTATACTAAGAGTGTCAGAATTTATATAATTCAGTTCCTCCATTAGTATATCCATTAGCACTAGTAAGTGAATGAGGATCTCACAATTTAAAATGTACCAAAGTTGCTTTTTCTCTCATTCTTGGTCTCTTCCAGTCCATGGAATGACAGCAACACAAGTGGTGAGAAATAAAGATGGCCAAGTGTAAGAACCGTACCACCCAAAATAAGTCCGATAAATGGAACATAAATAGCATCAAGACACCCAAGTTGCAGAGATAAGAGGTTCTGAAAGGGGTGACCCCAAATTTCTAAGAAACATTTTTTGCTAAAGAGGCTAAGCAGGAACTGAAGAAGATGCAGGCCAACAATGTCAAAGCCATCAGTTTCTGAGTGTCTGAAGCCTTAGCATCACAGTCCCCAAGAACAAGATCAGGCCCAGGTTTGCCAAGACTACAACCCCCTACAGTTACCACCTGATGCACTAGCCCCACTACTACTGCCAAACATCCAGGTCCCAAGATCACCAAGCATGAATATAAGGTTGCCACAACCAATGATCTCTAAAGTTACCAAGCCCACTAAGTCTACTGGCACCAACATCACCAAGCCCAACGATTCTAAGGCTAAGCCCACTGACCTCGAGGTTGCCAAGCTCAACAATCCTAAGGCAGCCAACTAAAGATGCCAGTGCTAAAGCCTTTGGATCCAAGTTTACTACTCTCAAAGTCTTTAAAACATATGCTTCAGGACAGGATTTGTTTTGAACACTAAGCTACAGTGTTCCTCAGAGGGCATTGTTATTGTGTGCAAATAAAAAGAAATGGTGATCCGTAAAGGGAAAAAAAATTTGAGTGTCAAAGGTACTGTTTATTTACAATCATAGTCTAAAAACTATGATTCTTCATACTGTCTCTCCCTTTTCTACCACCATCACTACATAAGTCCAACTCAAGAGGCATTCTGTATTTATGGACTGCCATGGCCAAAGGATTCATCACAATTGGCCAAGCTTATCTGTAAAAAGGAAATGATGATATTTTGAATGATTACCTCACAGGACTGTTTTTATGAAAGTAAATGTCAACTTTTGTTATAGTCATCTCCAAGGTACCTAACTGATACTAAATAAATACTTGGCAAGGTAAATTGAAAGCCAGAACACATTACCAATTAAACTACTCCTTAAAAACTGTCTAGATTTTAAGTGTGTCAACTAAGCTCAATTAGGCTTAGTTCATATAAATGCAATACAAACACAGAAAAATTAAGACTACATACAACCATTTTCTCACAAGTTAAATGAAAAAATTCTGTTAGTACATGACTTTTACAGCAAGAAAGCACAAACACAACCCAGAAAGTCTTAGCTGCTATCTTTAGTAAATTCATATTGTAGTACGCTCTTTGACATGCTGATATTCAATTAAGTCTAATTTTCAAAAACTGAAATAAGCCATGATTCTAATTTTCTGTTTTTATGTAAGTGATGAAAATCTGCACAAAATATATTTGCTCTCACCATGAAAGACCACAAGATGAAATGTACAATATCCATACCCTATATGAAAAAGTCATAATGTATAACCAAGTTGGAAAAAAATATCAGATCAGGTGAGTTGAGGTGAAGAAATCTGGATGCGCTTTATTGCCTTTAGATCTTCATCTCTTTCACCTACTAAATGATCTTGGAATGATCCTTAAGGGAAAGAAAAAATCTCACTATTATTTTGGTTCAGTTCTACAGCTAGAAACAGAGCTGGGAAAAGTTATTTTGAAAAGTACAAGATTTAATGAAAATTTCCTATTAGGGCTCTAAGGGTTAATCTCTCTGGACCTTAGTTTCATCCTCATCTATAAAGTAAGGGGGACTGGATTAGACACTCTTGATTGGTTCATGTCAGCTCTGAATTCTCTAAATCTATATGCACTTTTATGAGTAGGAGACAAAGGTAAATACAATAACTGTGTACCAACTACAGCCAATTAGTTCAACACATCATACATACTGTAATAATGCATATGCTAAAAGAATATTACCTGCTTTTCCACAGCAGCCTTCCCTTCTTCTTTTGTAGTAGATATAAGAATGTCATTCAAGCACTGCAAGCTAAATGTTTAAAAGGAACATGAAATTTTATTCAAATTTAATAGAAAAGGCTAACTTTTTGTGTTTAAGGATACTGAGTTTCACTTAGAGGAACCACCTCACATTGCACTGAAACAGCCAATCCCTTTATGTTACTAAATGTGAAGCTGATTTAATTTTATGTGACTTCTTATTGCAATTTTACAGCCCAGCAAAGCTGCCATTGTTACAAATTTAAGTGCCAATATGTAAGAAAGGGTGCTATTTGTTTGAGCATCTAACTTTCATAATGAAGAAATCGATCTATAACTACCCAATATTCATCATGCAATTTTAGTCTCTAGCTTTGTTCAACTATAGTTCCAAATCTTAGCATTTGCTGTTTTTCTTTCTTGAAATCTGTTTTTATATATCTCTGTATATACATTTGTAAAACAAGTGGCTATATATACACATTTGAGCAATTAATATTGATTAGTTTGTGTACTGTTATTAAGATCATAACCATGATATATGGCCTAAGTTTCTCTCAGAATATATCAGTGGTATTTAGAAAGCAACATTAACTGTTTCAGAGTTTAATAAATTAATATACTAAGTATTATGGTTATAATTTTTAAACCGAAAAAAGAAAAGGCTAGCTTCTTGATAGAGATTGACAGTAAGATGGTGATCATACCTTGTAAGTTCAAGACGATCACAAAGCTTTTCAATCTCTTCCATCATTTTAACACACTCTGCCTCACTGTCTGAAAAATAATTCCAATTCTAGAAAGCACAAACATATAATTTTGTTGTGTACATATTAATGCAAATTACTGTTGATTTACAAGACCAATTTCATAGCTAAACAGATTTTATACACGAACCTTTGAAAATCCTAGCAGTTTAATTTATGTCAAAGCTTCTGACTTTCAGTCAAACTCCTAGGGGAATCTGGCCAAGTTCTTCACAGCTATAAAAGTCATCTTTTGTAGGCTATGGATGCAGAGCAAACGAGCCTTATAGCTATTATGAGCCAATTTAAGTCCCCAAGAAATTGCTTATGGATACAGAAGTAGTGTCATCCCCGTAACAGAACTTTCCTTCATTAGTTAAGCTGAGCATGCTACTCCATCTATTCCTAAGTATAAACATCTACTACCAGAGAGTTTATATTTCAGTAAAAGCGTTAATCACCTGGCACGATGATAAATATGAGATGCTGGTAAGCAAAAAAAACCCCAAACACATTTACTTAATATTTAAAACTAATGAATACCATTATCATATACCAATTACACTAGGGCAACTGGAAACTAGTTAATATAATCAAACTTAGGAAGACAGTGAAAGATATGCAAATCTAAAATTACAGCTAGGAAAGTGGGGAGAAAAGTTTAGCCAGGCAGGAGGGATTGAAAGTTATTAAAAAAAATTACTTTGAGTACCTACTATGTAAAAGGTGGATATCATAAATTTCCTGTCTCTGTGTGCATAAGCTTACCTCCATGCCTGGAACGTACTCTCCCCTAACCGCTGCCATTTAGAATCCCTAGCTTCATTCAGGGCTTATCTCAACATGCCACCCCCTACCCAAGACCTATCTTCACCTCTCCAGTTGCCAGTGCTCTCCATGCCCCAAATGAAATTATTTTGCATTTATTTTATGTACATGTGTCATACTGGGGAGAAACTGATTAGTTTTTATTTTTGGAGACACTGTACCTAGCATATAATAAAGCATCTGATAAATGCTTGCTACACAGGGAAGAGCTCTGGTCGGAGTACATGGGTTCAAATCCTGCATTTGACACTAATCATGTAACTTTGCACAGGTCACTTAAGCCTTCAGTTTTCTCGTCTATTAAAAAGGAGGTTGGTCAAGCTGGCCTCTGCAGTCCCTTCCAGTTCTAGAACTATAGTCGTATTTGGTACGTGAAAAGAGTTTTTGCTTCACCAAGACTGACATACCTTGCATGAAGTTCGAAGTTTCTGCCTTTCCTTTTTAATGGCTTTTTTCTGAATTTCCTTTTCTTTCTTTGCCAGTAATGCTTGTTGTCTAACTTCTTCTTCTTCTTTCTCCTTCGCTAATCGAGCTGCTTCTAATTCAGCTTGCCTTTGCTATATTCAGGGAAACAAGAAACTATCTTGCATTGAAAATGGAATGTGCCACTGTTCAATGACCTTAAACAATTATTCCAATCTTTCAATGAATATTTTGATTCATAAAATAGTTGAGACTGAAATCATCTTATTGAAGAACAAAGACTGACCACAGTATGGTCAGAATAATAAATTCCTTCATATATGTACCATTTCGATAGGAATATATTAGACATTAGCTACTATGTTACTGAAGATATCAAATGCTTCCATGATATTTACACTACCTGCATCATCCAATATATTCTCAGTAAATGCTTGATAAGTGTTCATAATTAAGATTCTCTCTTGCTACTAATTACGCAAATTATCTATTAGAAATAACACTTTTAAGTTTAAGTCCCTAGGTTTTCTATGTTTTTAGTAGGCTTGTAGACTAATGAGCAATTTTTATCTTGTGGTATATTTTTATAAACTCCAGGAGCAAATACAAAATGCTGTTTGCTGTTCAAAGTCCTTCATAACCTAGCCCCATCCCAGCTTTCCAGTTTTCTTATATCTTATTGCCTGACATGTACTCTTTGATCCAGTGACACTGACATCCTAGCTGTTCCACTAACAAAATACTCCACATTTCTGTGGCTTTCCCTTGTGCCTGTAATGCTCCTCCTCCTCTTCCACTCCGATTACTGACCTTCCTAGCTTCCTTCAAATCCCAACTAAAATCCCACCTTCTACAGGAAGCCTTCTCCAAGCCCTCTTAATTCTAGTGCCTTCCCTCTGTTAATTATTTCCTATTTATCCTGTATATGACCTGCTTGTATGTATTTGTTTGAATGTTGTTTCCATTAGATTATAAGCTTCTTGAAGGCAAGAACTGTCTTTTCCTTCTTTTTCTATCTCTAGTACTTAGCACAGTAGCCTAGCACATAGTAGATGCTTAATAAGTGTTTATTGATTGGGGCCGGTAGGTGGTGCAGTGGATAGAGCACCAGGCCCAGATTCAGGAGGACCTGAGTTCAAATTTGGCCTCAGACACATAACACTTACTAGCTGTGTGACCCTAGGCAAGTCACTTAACCCCACTGCCTAGCCAAAAAAAAAAAAAGTTTATTGATTGACTGAATAAATTCACACCACTAGACAACTTTGAAAATTGTCAACTTACTTTTTCTTTTGCCTCTTGCTCCTTTCTCTTTGCTTCTACTTTTGCTTTCTTCTCTGCTTCCTTCTTGGCTTTTTCTTCTTCCTTAAATTTTTTTATCCTAGGATCACAGCTATATGCATTATCTATCAGAAGGAAGAAAACACTGTGAATATTTAGTCCCCCCCAATTAATTAAATATTTTGAAAAACAATGTATACTTACCAACTAATGTTCTTATTCTGTTCATTTCTTCTTTTTTCCTTTGTGCCCTAGCTGCTCTGTTTTGTTTTTCAATCCACCTCCTCTCATCACGACTGTAAAATGGTAAACATTTGGAAAATGCAGTATTTTCTATAGTTCTATACTTAGAAGCAATGATTTCTAAGGTTAAAATGGCACAAATTACCATCTTTAAAGGGATGATGCTAATATTAAGTTAGTGAAGTCAGGAGAGGTCATGATATAAAGAAGCATCCCTCAAATACACTCACAAAAGTTTAGCTAAGATGTGGCCAAGATATGGCCAGATGTAGTCTGGAGTGAACTGGTCTTTACACTGAGGATATACTTTCAGAGACCTATCATGCATAAATTTCTATGGCGGAAGCCCTTCTGTCCATATACGAAGGCCTTGAAGAATTACTGTGGTCACAACATCACAACTGATGTCTATGGAAGGAGATGGAAGGCTGTGAGGAACTAACTTTCTACAAGCTAAGACTGTAGCTGAGTGGAACTGTAGTGTATGAGTGGTTTCTTCTGTTCCAATTTCATGGAGTACCCACAGCTTTCCTCTAAGGGAAGTGGGGAAGAACAGGACATATATGCAAAAGAAAAAAATCTTCTAAGACTGTGCCCCTGGATCCTCAGCCCACAAGGAATTTAGAGCAGGGCAGAAGACTTTCAGGAATTCTTTTAAGAGCCCTGCTTTATGCAAATTGCCTAGTCACATCTTTTGACCTTTTTTTTTTTAGGGAAACTTGCTACAAAGTTGGTTTTGTTTTGGTTTTTTTGTCCAATTACCTGTTTCCCTGCATTGGTTTGTTTGTGCAAACCCTTTTAAATTTCATATAATAAAAACTGTTCAGCTTCTCTTCTGTAATCTTCTCTGTATCTTGTTTGGCCATGAACTGTTCCCCTATCCATAGACTTTCAGGTAATTTCTTCCTTGCTCCTCTAGTGTTGATAATGTTACCCTTTATATCTTATTCATTTAGTGTTTATACGGTATGAGATGTTGGTTTATACCTATTTTCTGTAAGACTTATCCCAACAGCTAAGCAGCAGCTAATGTTTATACAGCACTTAACTACATGTCAGGCACTGTACTAAGCACTTGACAATTATCTCAATCGATCCTCACAACAATCCTGGGGAGGTAGGTGCTATTATTATAATACCCATTTGATAGATGAGTAAACTGAATTAAGTGATTTGCCCAGAGTCACAAAGCTATTAAGTGTTTGAAGCCACATATGAACTCACATCTTTCTGACTCCAGACTCAACACTCTATCCACTGAGCAACCCTAAGCTGAGAACTGGGTTTAACAAACACAGCATTGTCTTCATTTGCTTATTTATACTGTATACTTACTCAGTTACAATAATCAACCTCTCTATTTTTTAGCCAGTACCAAATCATTTTTATGATTACTCCTTTGTAATATAGCTTAGCTTACTGCTAAGTTCTCTTCTTTCCTTTTTGTTTTCATTATTTCCCTCGAGAATGTTGACTTTGACCTTTTACTCTTCCACAAGAATTTCATTATTTTTTCTAGCTTGATAAAATAATCATTTCATAGTGTGACTGTTAAGGCACTGAATAATTAAATTAAGTAGACTGTCATTTAAAAAATATTGGTAAAGCCTACCTATGAACAATTAACATTTCTCCAAATGTTTAGTTCTGTCTTTACTTCTATGAAAAATGTTTTACAATTCCATTCTTATGGTTCCTCTACATGTTTTGGTAGGTAGGCTCCCAAGTATTTCATCAATTCTGTAGTTATTTTGAACAGAATTTTTTTTTCTATTTCTTCCTGCTAGGTTTTGTTAGTAATATACAGAAAGGCTAATAATTTATGTGGCTTTGTTTCATATCCTGAAACTTTGCTGACTATATTGTTTCAATTAAATTTTAGCTGATTCTTTTAAGTTTTTCTAGCTACTAGACCATCATAGCATATGCAAAAACTGAGTTTTGTTTCCACTTTTTTTATTCCCTCTTATTTTTTTCTTGTCTTATTGTGATTGCTCAGATATAATCAAGTTATCTTTGGATCTTGTTGCTACGACCCGCTTTTTCCTGTTGTTTGGCTCAGTTCTGTGCTGAGAGGACTTTAGTGGGTAAAACCTTTGCAAAAATTTTCTGGATAGAGAAGACCTAATTGCACAGGTGACTCTATCCATTTCTGTCATTCCATGGCTATTAAAAAAAAACACAAAAACAAAAACCAAACCCGTAACACTGATGATTGCCTCTGGGGCAAGAACTTTGTAGGGTTTTTTCACTTTACTCCCTCCAAGGACCAAAGATCACCACTTCTAGAACTCTTACCCTGGCCCCACTGTCCTGATTGGCAAGTATATCATGTCACCCACTCTATCTGGCCACTTGCCAATTCCAGACACTTTACCACCCACCTAATTATCTCACCAGCCACTTGGATGCCACGTATACTATCTGCTGTACCTGCTTCCTTTAATCCTCTTTCTGGTTCTGGAACCATAATCATTACTGACATTGCCACTGGAAAGTGTGTATCAATCTCTATTTCTGTATGGATCTACTTGCCATCTCTTACTTTCCCAACCAAATATTCCTCCCTGGTTACCACTCCCTTTTATGTGCTGTCTCTTCCAGTTAGAAAGTAAACTCCTTTCGAACAGAAACTGTTTGTGTTTTGTATTTGTATCCCCAGTGTTTAGCACAATGCTTACTTAAATAGATGCTCAGTCATTCATTTATTCCTCCATCCCTAACAGAAAATGAGGTTTAGCAAATTCCCATTCAGAGTAAATTTACATGGTAAATGGTAAGTGGTTTTTTGCTCTTGTTCAGTCTTTTTTTCAGTCATGTCCAACTCTTCTTGACCCTATTTGGGCTTTTCTTGGCAAAGATACCGGAAGCAGGTTGCCATTTCCTTCTCCAGTTCATTAAGTGTCTGGGGTAAGATTTGAACTCAGGAAGGTGAGTCTTCCTGATGCAAGGCTCAGTACTCTATCCCTACTAAGACACCTAGTTGGTAAGTGGCACAGAGTTCTTAACTGCTATTAATGTTATAGGACCTCAGAGGGCATACTGATTTTATTAAAGACAGTAGATGACTGTAAGAGAAATCCCTACATAAGGATATTGGCATTGTCCTGCTATCAATGGTACACTAAGATCTCCATGCTCCAGGGACATTTATCCTTAGGTCTAGATTTAGGGCTTTTACTTCCTAATTGGAATATATCCTATTTTATATGTGTAAGTACCTTCTACCCATTAAGTCTATATGATATAATTTGGAAACATCTAAAAGGTATGGAGGTGTGCCACCACCTCATAAACAGAACTGTTACTATCTGATGAGTAATATTAACTTATGAAGATTTCCTCATTGTGAAAGAAAGCTTAAGAATGTTTTATAACTTTCAAGATACCCAAAATTAAATAAATCCTCCCATTTCCAAAAAAGTGAGCTAAACCACTTTACTTGTTAATGACTTTACTTACCATTCTGCTTTTTCTTTTTCTTCTTCATCTAAATAAGAAAACTCTCTCCAAGAATCAAAGTTATACCTGAAATAGAAAATTAATAAACACAAAATTATAGCTATAAATAATTTAAGTTTTTAAGCTGTTACGTGCATAATGATATATACTTTAGTAAAAAGATGAAAATAGTAATTAGATTAATTGGTACCTACTTAATTTTCTGTCAACAAAGAACATCTTTCCTTGTTTTCATTTTAAATAGATTTAGGCATAAAATTTTATTATACCCATTTACTCCCAATTACCACATGTTCTTCAGTTTCTTGAGATTTCTCACAGAATTCTTTTCCACTTAATTGTCCTACTTCCTACCCCTCCTTTGCTGCCTAATTTTTTTTTAACTTTGTGACCAGGTAAAGGCAACCATAACAGGTGATCATTTTCCTAATATATCGTATATTAAGTAAAAACCATTAATTTATAAAAGTGAATTTTATTGTTCCCATGTTATAAGTTCCTTGAAGCCACGGAACACTTTATTATGTTTTGTATTTGTATCTTTTTCCCCTCCCCAAAATGGCATATATAAGTACTTAATAACTGCCTGTTGAATCATTAACTGATAAAAAGACTCCATGCCCATTCATTCTTCTTAGTACTCACTTGAGATTAACCAAGAAAATAAAGTTTTCTGTATTACAAAATTCATCCAGTTTTCATTTTTGTGTATGAACTGGTATATATAAGAATCAGTAAATTATTAATGAAAATTAATAACCTTGTCCTTGATTAGATGGGAACACAAACATGAGAATCTTTTTTTGCCTATTCAATTTGGATTAACCAATACAAAGTTGATGCTTTTCATCACAGTGCTTTTAATAACTAGAGATCTTGCACCAACAGGAAATGGATTGGAATAATTTGTTCAGAAAAGGTTAGACAGCTGAAAGAGAAAACAGCTTCAAGCAAAAAACATTCAATAAATTCTAAATGATGGGCTTCAGTAAGTTTATGATAAAGTTTCTGCAAATCAGTCTCCCCAATCAACATTTTAATTACAATCCTTATAATATGGCAACACTATTTTAAATAAGTGTATTAACTTACCAAAAAGAGTAAAATGCATCTACGTCTTCAAATGATGAATTCATGTCACCAAGTTTAGGAACATTTTTCTTATTTGACCATCTGAAATATTAAAATAAAAAGTAAAGCCAGTCATAAAAGCTGGTATGAAACTTCAATGTCATAATTTGTAACAGGCAACTTTTTAACTATTTATGCCTAAGATGTACCTTCAAAACATAATATGAGTAGTTAGTTTGATATCTTTTCTTACTGTTTTTATAAGACTTGCTAAAAAGCTATGACACTTTTACAGAAGTAGAGTACAGTTCCTAACTTCCCTACCTGTTTGTAAAGTTCACATGCCAGACCCTATACATAAAGTGAGGTTTGAAAGCAAAAGCATGGTTAGTGGTGAACACCATGGAGCAGTGGTACAAGTACAGATGGAGATATTGGAGTAATGATCTTTCTAGTAGTTTGGCTGTCCTCTCCAAAACATGAAGAAGGAAGAAGCAGGCTTTTCTCCCAAACATTTAATCACTTGCTGATGACACGTCAAAAGAGGCAATATGGCAAAATGGGAAGCATACTGAATCTGGAGATACAGGGCCTGGCTTCAAATCTGTCTTATTCTTTACTCCATGGGTGACCTTGAGCAAATTACATCCCTTATAACTTCAATTTCTTCATCTGTTAAGTAAATGGGTTTGGATAAGGTAAACTATTTAGTCCATTTAGCTTTAAACCTACGATCTTATGATGAAGGCCTTTTTATGGCAAGCCTAATGTCTCGTTTAACTTTTTTTTTTAGAATACTCTGTGTTACAGTGAAAATAATAGCTAGTAGATATAGAAATTGAGCTTAGAAATTAGGGAAATCATTGGGAGGTTAGACAAGTAGGTTGAGAGACCAGAAAACCCACCTGAAAGCCCAGATTTAGAAAAATAAAAATTTTCCTACTCTCATACCCTTTGAATTGAAAGGTTTTGACTTATAACTGGAATAATTTGACTAGGTGGTCTCTGAACTAGGTCCCTGCATCTATTAAAGAACTGGTAGCATTTTCCTGGAGTAGAAAAATGACGGTTACCTATCTAAAGTAATTATTACACAAAAATATACCATATACTTTCATTACCTGGTTGTTGAGCCCTGAAAGGACATAAATAGTGATACTAGGTGCCTTAGCTGAGGAATAAGAGGTGGGGAAATAGACTGCACATAAAGCCACATGAGAAAATAACTCTCAAGGGCAGAAAGGTTGAATCATAACAAGGGAAAACACTATGAGGGTTTATACTAGCTAAAAAAAAGTGGATTCAATGAAAGTTTAAAAAATTGTAAAGGTATAAAAATATCTTAAATGTAAACCCACCCTCATCCAGAGAAGCTTTACGGTAATCAGTTGCTCAGAGAAAAGAACAATTGTTTTTCTCAATTAATACTGGGCAAAAGGGAGAAAAAGTGCTAATCAGCAAGAGAATAAAACAGTGGAAAAAAGAGAAAAATTATCACATTATATATGGCATTGTGAAAGTAAGGAAAACATAAGATAGGTTCTAGAATGTGTCAAAATATGGCTGTCATTTTAGGGAATGAAACAACGGAGAAAACTGAGCCTGCTAGATCCTTTTACAAGGGAAGAACAGATATTCTTTTTCTTCTTCCTTGTGCAATAAGGCAAAGTGAAATCATTTTTCAGGAGAAAAAGGAGAAAATATGGAAGACCTCTATATGCATGCAACAGGGCTCTAAGTTCAAAGGTGATGCCGTAGCTCACCTGGAATTCCTTTCAAACACTGGTGAAAACACTTCAAAGAAATTGTCCTTTGCTTCATTTTTAGAAGGAACTGAGTTATCAAAAGTAGGATCTATACTGTTAAATGCTCGTCTTTTCACGGGGTCAGACAACATTTCATAAGCTGAGGAAAAAAAGTTACAAGGTCACAAAACATCACTAGATATGACCTGACTTTACATGTTTCTATGAGGAAAATGCTTACTTTACTGGTGTTAGTAGTATTCAAGTTAAAGTAGGTTTTTATTTTCACAGCACAATAATGGATTGTTGCCTTCTGCTGTAAAGATGATTAAGCAATGGTTTAAATATCCATCTATTAAGCAATAGTTTAAATAACTAAAAAATCAATCTTGGGCAGGGGTAGCAAGTAAGGACCCTTACAATACAGGAATGAAAGAATATAGGGATGACAGAAGTAGGTATGCATTTAAGACTTTTCATTTTGGTCCTAAAAATGTGTTAACTTCATTTTAAATCACACACTTTTTAAGATTAAGGACTATTTGGAAATGGTGATTAATATTATGGAAAAAATATGTTCTTATTTTCCTTAATAAATACATAAATACTCCTATGTTTAATATAAAGTTTCTTGCATGTAAGATTGTATCTAATTATGGGTTATGCAATGCGTTAGAATACAGAATCAATTTCTTACTTTAGTTTAAACTAGTTTATTTAGTTTAAACCAGTTTATTTAACTAGTAAAGCTAGCTTTGAAAAGTATTTATTTTTCCTTTTGACTGAGTTCAGGTGGTAACACAATGTCATATGTTAATTCAGACTATCACTTGAAATGGAATAGAAAACTGGTGGGTCATAATTGTCATCATGAAATAGAAAAAAATCTAAATCAATTCTGCTATTATTAGAAATCATTTTATTTAACTGAAAATGGTTTGTTAATGTTACCCACAGTAAAGTAAAATATACTGCTTACAATATTAAGTAATATCAGCCTAGAAAAAGATCTACATTAATCTATTAAACACTAGAAATTCTACCACTGAAAGTATTTTCTTACCTTTAGTTATGCAAGTAAAGTAGTCATTTTCCCCTTCTGCTATTGGTTCACCTGCTGCTTTTCGTTTGTCTGGATGATGTTTCAAAACCATCGCTTTATCTACCAAATGAATCAGGTCTGGATAAGTTCTGTCACTTAATGTTTTGTATTTGAAAATAAAAGCAAGTTAAAATGATTCATTTCTGGAATCTTAAGGATAATTTTGAATGTCATGACAAACACTTGGTTATGGAATAGATTCCCCCTCTCCCCCATTTAAATGTTACTGTAAACTCCCCATTTAAATGTTACTGTAAACTAAAATCTTCTTGGATGATTTACCATTAGAAGTTAGACAATCTGAATTACCAAAGACTCTGCATCCATAAAAATAAATAGAAACTACACATCTTTCTAACTAGCATGGTACAGAGGAAAGGGCACTGTACTTGGGGCCACAGAACCTGGGTTGAATCTTCCCCATAACATTTATTAGCTGTGCAAACATGAGCAGGTCATCCAACCTCTCAACTACTCATTTTCCTTGTCTGAAAGATACAATATTTACACTACTTACTTCACAGGGCTTTTCCGAAGAAAACTGATTTGCAAACATTAAAGAACTATATAAATGTTAGTTACTATTCATATTTTAAAATAATCTGCATAAGGAAAAAATTCAGCTACCAGAATCTTTTTCTTTCTTTTTTTGTTTAAACTGAATCTGAGATTTCACTAGTATAAGGAATTCCCAGTGAGGAAATTTCCTTGACTAAAGCAGATCAGCAACTGTTCTACTGCCAAAATCCTTAATGCTAACAAACTGCATTGTAAACATAAAGTGAACAATCAAGTTTGTAAATAAACAAGGTTTTTAAAGTAATCCTTATTTTATATGCTTCATTTAACAAAAAAATTAAAAATTATTTCTGCAAACATTGTAACTAATATTTATTGTTTTTAATACTTCATTGGATATGGACAAAGGGCCTGGACTCGGGATTTTACTGTAACTCTCAGATTAGGAAACTTACTCTAACCCATGAAGGTTGTGGCATCTTCAACTTGTAGGCAGACAACCTTCCTAAAGAACTACGAGGTTAAATGACATCTAGGTTTAGATAGTCCTAAAGCAGTAGAGGCAGGGCTTATATCCAGATCTTCCTGGCAATTAGGTTGATTCTCTAGTCACTGTTTCTCCTCATCCAGGTAGTTAGTCAGTCATAATGTTACTTTAGTATTACGTTTGTACTGAGAAAAGAAACAAAGATGCCTCATTCCTGGTCCCCTACAGTGATTCTAACAAGAGAATCAGTCATACAACCAAAAGAGTATAAAGAAATGAAGGAAAGGAAAGGAAATTTCATGAAGGAAGATATTTTATCATCATCATTATTATATTTATATTTTATGAAGGAATATGTAATATCCAGTATGACTGGAAATTAACCGTCAGAATTCGTGATTCAACTATCCTCCAGAACGTAAGTAGGATAACTTTGTGATACATTTTATAGGATACTGCCTTCAATGTTAAATCTTCCTAGGAGAAGTATGGTTTGTACCAATAAATCTACAGTCTGTCAGGTCTCCACTATCCCTATGTTGGCCCTTGACTAGACACAAGTTTCTTTCTACAATTATAAAAAAATACAACAGCAGAGTCAAAACTCTTCTCTGCCTTCTCAGGATACTTTCCAGTTTTAATTTATTTTATATAAAGCACTAATAAAAATAGACACTATATAAACATGAAGATAGTTTATTACATATATGAATTCATCTAATGCATTTATTGCTTATCAAAGAATTAGTTCTCAAAGATACAGGTTTAGATAGCTAAGTCATTTCCAAAAGGGAGGAGGATATTATAGGATAAAAATGTAAAAGTGTCCCTGCATTCCTACAAATCCTGTCAGCTCATCAACTATAAATCTTCCTCATCCCACTGCCACTTCCTAACAATAAGAGAATGGCCCAAAATGTAGCAGCTGAAAAAAGAAAAAGGTTCAAAATATGGTGTTCTATGAGTAAAACACTATTCTCATTTTCTAGTACTATGCTTTAATAGAGGAACAGTTTTATATTTGGTTTTTTATAACCAAATGTTCCTTTCATAGGATTCCAACTATTTTGATGCACACTATGCCTCAAAATTTGAGTTTAAGTTTACTACTGTTAGATAAAAATTAATGTCTGGCTTATATGTCTTTATTCTAATAAATTATATGACACACTGGTTAATATCTATTACCATATGAATTTCATGTTGTAAATTCATGGAATAAGACAAGATGAACAGGCAGACCTAAAACTGCTGAGTGGCATTTATAAAGATCCTTCCAATGTTACCATCTCCACCCTGATCCCAAAAATAACACTGCAGAGAGGCAGCAATGGAAGTAAAGTTTAGAAAAAAGTGTTTTCAAATTTCTTGTCACATACTTTCCAGTGCTTATCATTATAAAATATAACACAGAGTTACACACAATATTTTATGTTCAAAAATCAAACTTTTAAAACCCAAACTGATCTTGGATTAGATTTTTCCACAAAGAGACTGCAATTGACATGTTTTAAAGTCACAGAAGTCACAGTACATACAGTTGACTATGCCAACTACCTAGTCCAGAACAATGCTTCTCAGTACAAGGGCTAAGGACACTGGAGTTTGAAAGCTATATATACCCCTTACTTTCCTTTCTGAGACCACCGCACAGGACCTGTTCAGCCTATCCCTGTGATTCCAATCCTTTCTTTACTTGAACTGTACATAGTCTAGCCCTGACCTCCCAATTCCTATCATGGCATAAGCTCAACTATACATCCATCCAAGTATTTATTGAACATCTATTATGCAAAAGATACTGTACCAAGGACTATGAATGATATAAAGACACAAAGAAATAGTCTGTGTCCTCAAAGACGTTATAATCTAGTAGGTGAAAAATGACCCACATAGAAACAATTATGAGGATTGAGAAATGTAATAAAAGGGGCATCAAGAAATTGATATAGGATTTTAGAGGAAGGAAATACTGCCTCCATTTGGGAGATTTAGAAAAACCTTCATAAAAGAGGTGATATATATTTAAGCAGTTCTTAGAGATGAATAGAAATCCGAATGGTAAAGATGAGGTACAAATATAGTGAGTGGGAAGAGGAAGAGCACAAGTCAAGAAGGGCAAGTAATCCAGACTGAAGTTACAGGTGTCACACACAGAGACACAGGCGCGTGCGCGCGCACACACGCACACACACACACGGAGGTATAGCCTGGGCCAAATTATGAAGGATTTTGAATATCGTGCTAAAGAATTCGGACTTTATTTGGTAGGCAATGGGGAGAAACTGGAGGTCTCTGAGCAAACAATTAGCATGATTAGAAGAACAGTGCCTTAGAGATGGATCTGACATTGCTATGTAAAGACAAGAAACATTAGAGACGCAAAAACTAGTTAGGGGGTTAATGTGATATCTAAGCAAGAGATAATTAGGTACTAAACTAGTATGGCAGTCCTGGGAATGATTTATGTGAAATTTTGGAATTAGATTTTATAGAACTTGATGACTAAATGTGGAACAAGAAAAAACAAAGACAGTGGAACCATTAGGGGAGTCAGAAAAAGGAACAGATTGTGAGGGCATTATAAAGTTTAGGTTTTGCACATGACAAGTTTCAGATAGTATGGGAAATCCAGATGTCCAAACAATTAGAAATGCAAGTGTGGAACTAGAGAGATGATGGGCTAGAGATATAGCAACTGAAATAATAGAAGGCAGATGGCCAAGGCTGAAAATGTTGAAAAAGAAGAATGTTGAGGACAGAATCTTACAGAACAGAAACAAGAAAAGCCAGGGAAAGAAGCAGAGGTGGGAAGAGAGGTAAGAGAATACAGTTTCACAGAAGCCAAGAGAGGAGAGAATATTAAACAGGAAAGTATATCAACAGTGTCAAATGCTGCTGAAATATTGAGTTCAAGGACTAACAAAAGGATAATGATTAGTTGTAAATGATAATCTTTTGGTTTTTTTGGACATGGATCTGACTATCCCTGTGTGTGGCTACAGTAGAATGAAAATATAGGTCATAAGAGAGGACCCCTGTTCTGTCCTCAATTTCTGTCCTTTTCAGCTGACTATATAACCAGTTCAATTATACGCTGTCTGCCACCCTTGAAACTCTTCCCCTTGTCTTACTGCAGCTCATGCCTTGGCAAACCCTATCCCTACCTTCTCTGCTCCTATTCAGGAAGGTTGAACACCCATGGAGAAAGTTACAGTGCTGTGTAGATTGAGTCTAGCCCAATTTCTGTTATCTCAACTGAGCACCAAGCCAGCAATCATTTTATTCTTTCCTGACTGATTACCACTGACCCTTCACAACAGCTGTCCTAAAACTTCTTCTCAAGCCTCCTATATGACTTTCCCTACTACATTTCAACAGAGGGACTTGCCTCTAATTTTGCTGAGAGGCTCTCTGTTCTAAGTACCTTCTTCTTGCCTATTCTGCAAGTCAAAATTTCTCCTTTAACCTCTATTCTCTCCCCTTTTTGTTCCAATCTCTAACAAAGAAGTGGCTCTCCTTCCCAAGACCAACCCATTCAAACTTCTCTACTATTTACTACTATCCTTCTGATCACTTAGGTTTCAATCAGTCACCTTTGACTCCTCATTTCCCCTCACCCTCTCATATCCAATCTGTTACCAATTCTCATAGATTTTACTTCTGTGAGATCTTGTATCCATCTCCTTTTGTCAACAAACATGACGGTTTAGATCTCCATCACCTCTCATCTGAACTTCCACAATAGCCCCTCTTAAATCCATCTTATATTAACTTCCAAAATAATCTTCCTAAAGCACAAGGATGATTATATCTCTCCCTTGCTTGAGAATTTTCAGCAGCTCCCTACTTCCTCTAGGGTGAGAGAGAAACTCATCAGTACATTTAAAGGTTTGCACAATCTGGTTCCAGTCTACCTTTCCAGATTTATTGAATTTACAATGCTCCTCGTCACACTCGGGCCCACTTGCTTCTCCCAGAATTCAGCATTACTTCTCCCTATTTTTGCCAACTATCTCCCATAAATAGCAGATACTCCCTCCTCACCTCTACTTCTTAGACTCTTTCACTTCCTTCAAAGCTCAGCTCAAGTGTTATCCCATAAAGGAAGCTTTTCCCCATGAACTCCTAGCTGCTAAATTGTATTTACTTATTGGTGTGATGCTGTAGCTCCTAGTACAATGTAAGCTTTTCTTAGGGCAGGCACCATTTATCATTTCTTTGTATCCCTCCCCAATGCCTAGCATTAAAATCTCTGAACTGAACTGGAGATTTATCAGCATAAATCTTAGCTCCTCTGACCCAGATTACAAAATTTCCAAAATAGAATATGATAAAATCCTCCCAAGCTGAAGTATGAATTTCTAGTCATTTTCTTCACCTACTACAGTGTTATAATTGGTTGAATTAAGCTTTTATTAATTTTTTTGAGGAGAGATATGGTGAAGTCACAAGATACAGGGAATGGTCTAAGAGGCAGATGTTTAATATAGGAGGAGAGTAACATGTTTAAATGTGGTTAAGGCAACTGAAGTCTGAAATGCTTGGTGAAAATTTCTGCATAATTTTCCTAACCAAATAATTTGAAATATAATGAGGCTTTAATAAAAATAACTCCATTATTGAAAAAAAAGATATGGCAATTTCAAGAATAATGTGACCTAAGTTTGGAGCAAAGCAATAACAACCTAAGAGCACAGTTGCTGCTGTTCAATCACATCTGATTCTTCATGATCCTGTATGGGGTTTTCTTGGCAAAGATACTGGAGTGCTTTGCAATGCCAAACTTTCTCCAGTGGATTATGGCAAACAGAAGGTAAGTGACTTTCCCAGGGTCACACAGATAATAAGTGCCTGAGATCAGATTTGAACTCAAGTTTTCCTGACTCCAGGCCCAGCACTCTATGCACTAAGCCTCCCAAGACAGCACACTGATTCTCACTAAATACAAGCCAAACTCATTACCAAAGAGACCAGAAGCTTAGCTTGCTTCTAAAAGCTGACCATCTTTAAGAATGTTTTTTACATTCAAGAGAAAATTTACCCCACAGTCTGATTTCTTTTATCCTTAATGAACGAAGAAGTAGACAAATGAGAAAATACATATTAATAATCTGTTTTCTGGCTTTGTTGCTCCAAATATACCCTAACCACAAGGTGGTTTTTCCTGGTGTAATTCTACAAAGGCATAGTTAAATCTAGAGCTTTTTCACACCCTTTAAAAAGAATAATTATATTCTTATGTCAGACTTCAAAGCATTCCAAAATAGTAACCAAAATAAAATACTTACGGGCTGCTTTGATTTGTTTCTGAGTAGCCCTATATCTTATATGTCCAAGTCCAAGAACTGCATAATGATCTTGATTCTGAAAAACAAATATAAAAAATTTAAATTCAATAAAAATACACTTCTCATCTCTTGTGTCATGCTAAGTGCACAGCTAACAAAGCCTTCCCCAGGGCATGGCTACGATGAAGTCTGGGACGTGTGAAAGAATAGATGAATAGCTCCTGCCTCTAGGCTTACACCAAGAACAGCAAATACAATCCACTGAGTGGGAGAGTACCTGGGACCTGTTGGCCACAAAAAAACTATCTCCTGGGATCTCTCAAGTAGTAATAATGGCACATAAGATTGAGAACACAATTGTTTCATTTCTTATCTTTGAACATCCAGCATGCAGCACACTGCCTGGCACATTTTAGGAGCTTAGCAAATGCTTATTAATTAATTACTGACAGGCTGCCACCTTTGAGATTCCATGAGCTTGTATAACTAAGGAAAGCAGGTGTCTTTCAATTTACTTAAACTGTGGACCATTTTGTTCAGCTGCTGTACTAACTCCTTAGGCCCCAAGGGTGGTAATGAGACAGATGCTTTTACTAGGAAAAATTTATCCCCAACTCCTCATGGGAGCAGGCTAGTTCTCTAAATAACAGGGCTAAATTGAAGAACACTACCCAATAGCCTGCTTAGACTAGAAGAGGAGTTGGGTTAGGTGTACAGACAATGATGGACAGCAAAAAGGCTAGAGACATCCAAGGGAACAGATAAAGTCAGAATGAATTAAGTAGTCCCTAGGAAAAAAAGGTTTTTTCCACATTAAGAGCCTGAATTTCTCTCTGCTACCAACATATGGAATCCAGAAATTGTTGTAGTGACATAGAAGGCTCCTAGGGTAACTTCTTAGGACAGTCCCTGTGGAATTCCAATGCACTAGCCAGACTCAAAGAAACTGAAGGGCTCCAACAAAGGTGGGGGGGGGGGAGAGTGACCATCTTTCCTCCTTTATCATAGGATCATAGCTTCAAAGGTTGAGACCTAGAAGCCCATGCAGTGCAACCCCCTAATTTTATAGATAAGGAACTGAGGCCCAGTTAAATGGCTTGCCAAGGTTGCATAGGTAGTAAGGAGCAGAGCTAAGATTCAAACCATGTCTTCTTCAAACCTAAGATTCTTTCCTTCTGCATCACAACACCTTCATTGTAGAGATACGGTATATTCTCCTGGAGGCTATGCTTCCTTCTCTGCATATTTTTTCCTTTCTTTCCCCACCTGTCTAGAAAGTTTAGAAACCTAGTATTACACTGAGCTGGAAAAGTTCTCATTTTTAAAAAATATCGGTAATATTGGTAGGCAGTGCTCATGGCCTTTTGTGCAAAAAGGGCTTTTCATAAGGCTACACAATATACTGTTATTTAGAATTATGGGCACATTTCTTTTTTTAATCAACAATAGGAGCACCAATTAGAAACAGTTCTCATGACTCAACCTATATGATGCATTATAAAGCCAGATGAAATAATAACTGTAATTTTAAGAACAAAAAAAAAGGAATCAGGCAGGAAGATCTTAGAATGTTATGATAGCTGGAAAATGCACTTGAACAGCTGAAAACCCTTAGAGAGACTATTTAACAATTTCAAGGAAAATATGACAACATAACTTAAAATGGTATCTATATACAATACCTTCCAATCTTTAGGATCAAGAGTTTTCAGCATAGGAAACTCCTCTAACTGTAATTCTTCATCTTCTGACTCCTCTGATAATTCTTTCTTATCTTCTAGTTCCTGAAAAGAGGCTGAAATATTCCTGTTTCGCCTCTTAATAAATGCTTCATACCATCTTCCCACGGGTTCAACTTGACAGATTACAGACGCTATGATTGAAAAGTATTGAGAAGCTTCAATGTACTTTAGAGTTTAAATTTATTTTAAAATAAAGGATTTACCCAAGAAATAACAAGGTTAAGTAAATGATATATTCATAAATTTCAATTTTTAAAATAATCACTTATGAAAATAGGTGTACTAATCAAGCTACCAGAAGGATTAGTAATACACAATTAATTCCCAGCAAAACACAATTAATAGCCCCATATTCCAAAATCTTTCTGTGCCATGTGCCAACAGTCATGCACTAAACAGCTTCATATCCCAGGTAAGATTTTACTGACTTTCCTAGGAAATTGGGGTGTAGTCAGGAAAATGAGGAGAAATTTGGCAAACTGTTTTTACACCAATAATAGCCAACAATGATTTTTTCTGAGACTAAGGAAAATGATCATTGTGAAATTTATTTAATGGAGGTCAACACAAGGCCTCCTCAAGGGTCATCTGGAAAGATGTTAAACAGTTATTAACATTGTGTACAGGAACCCGTGTTCAAAACACAGGTTACACATTGCTAAAGTGAATGCATTATCAGCATGTTTAAATGTGTTTTCCAAGGTCCTTCTTGAATTAATGGATATTTACCAGGAATTCTTGAGATCTAAGGGTTAAGTTGCTCTAACTCAAGAAAAACTATAATAAAGAAATTTAGGAGAGGAGAATGTAAACTGAACTAAATAAACGATTACTACATGTAAGAAAGTAAATCGTTACTGCTTGATAACAAATAACTAAAAGATAACAGTTTTGTCTCATAAATTACCTCCACAAACTTTGAAGAGAATTGAATACCTGTTCACATTTTACTTGCTTCAGGAATCCAAGCCTCTCACTGCACTATGCCAGAATCAAGCTCAAACACATTCTATCAGCACAACACAGCTAGGGCATTTGAAGCATTATTTCTGACATTTCCTTCTCTTTTAAGATGATCACTTTAGTATGTCAAAAATCTCGGCTTTATCAGATTTTATTTCCTGCTATGCACTGCAACACGTCCAAGTATTTAGCAGATCACCTTCACCAGCTGGTGGGTCCAAAAAAATTAATCTGGCAGCCAACCTTCTAGCAATAAGGCTTTCTTTCCTTCGAGAATACTCCAACCTTTATGGCTAGGTAGGACCTAACAATTTTCGTCCTTTATGGGCAGACCTCAGCACCCCAGGCTCACCACCCCACAGGGAAGAAAGGAGTCTTAGCGAAGATCTTCAATGGAAGGCATGACTGGTCAGCTACGTACCAGAACTCCCATAAACACAACACAACCTGGATAACAGACTTAAGAGTTGTTCCCAAGAACATGTCCCCGTGTAAGCTGGTAGGGGAAGAGGGGCCGTTTCAGGCTTCTGGAAGCTTGCAAACTGAAGTTTCTACAGCAACACGACAACTTCTGAACAACGAACTTTACACAGAAATGACCTCCGCTAAGGGCGCGCCAAAGCCAATCTCGGGAGAAGCCGTGGCGGCCAGGCTGACAGCCACAGGCTTTGGGGGACCCGGGGGCGAGCGAGGCACCGGAGCCGGCCCCCGGGGATGGAGGGACATGGTGAGCCGGGCACGGGGATGGCTTTGTATGGGCGGCCGGAGGCACGTGGGGGGCACGGCCCCGGCTTCTCCCCGCTTTGCGGGGACCTCGGGTCTTCCTCTCCCCGCCAGGATGGGCAGGACGGGGTGCCGGAGGGGCCCGGGGGCATCGCCCGCGCCCCCTTCACGATTCAGCTCCCCGCTCCGGGGGCTCCGCCCGGTCCGAGTTCCCCACGATCCGGCGCTCGCCAGCGGCACCCTTTGGCCCCTCGTGCCTCCAGGCGCCGCCGGGTCACAGGGCGGGGCCAGCGTCCGGCTGGGAGGTCCGGCGGGGCAGAGGGCAGGGACTGGGGAGCACAAGCTGGGGAGCCACAGGAGGGGGAGGGCGGGGGCACCGAGCGGCTCCGGCCACTTACCCGCCGACAGAGCTCGGGTGACGGCGGTCCCCTGGCCGTCCGGCGCCCCGGGCAGCAGCAGCATGATGGCGCTGGTCCGAGCGGCGGTTCCTCTCCCGGGCTGGGGATGCTCGCGGTCCTTCTCCAGCTCCAGCGGGTCCCTCGCGCCTCCGCTTGCTCTCCAGAGCCCAGGAACCGGCGCATGGAGAGAGGCCACAACTGCTTCCGGGCCATTGCCCTCTGGGTGCGACGCTCTCTCCTGTCCCCCATCGTTGTACGTACAGGCACAGTCCGTCCCTGACTCCGGCCCGGCCAGGCACTGAAGCCTCACCGAAGGTTCCCGAAGTCGGAAGGGCAGCGACCGCCTGTTTATTTTCTTTGTAGACTCCCCGCCCGGAGCATTTGTACAAGGAGTCCTAGTTTACAAGCATGTATTAAGCATTTACTTTTCAGAAAGCAGTTTATTGAGCTCTTGGGGTATAAAGGCAGAAAACAAAAGAGAAAACACTATACAACTCTATCCCTGTCCTCAAAGAGTTTACGTTCTAACAGGAGCGCAAATATGCAAATAACTATGTACATAGAAGATTCCCACAACGTTAGGGGAAGGCAATCTTAGAAAGAAGGAAGGGATAGTAAACTTTGGACTGATGAAATTGTAAACTCAACCCTATTATTTTTGGTGCCACTGGTGGGAACACGCTGATTGTTTCCCCTCACTAATCTTTAATTTGTGTTTTTTTGTTTGTTTTTAGGCAATTGGGGTTAAGTGACTTTACCAGGGTCACACAGCTAGTAAGTGTCAAGTGTTTGGTCTGAGGCCGGATTTGACCTCAGGTCCTCCTGACTTCAGGGCTGGTGCTCTATCTACTGCCTGACCTAGCTGCCCTAATCTTTCATTTGTGAACTAGAATTTGTAGCCATGGCAATGGATTCATTTGACAAATATAAAGTAACTACTGTGTGCCAAGGGGTATACAAAAATGAATAAAGAAGAGCTCCCACTCTCATTGAACTCACAGTATAGTAATTATACAGATATCAATTCCTATGAAAATCTCATACATTGCTTGTGATCTCTCCTGAGGTCAGGAAGACTGTCCTAATTCTATACTTTATTCTCGGCACCACTATTTTTAAAAAAATGTCTGTGCCACATCGAATTTAACTTTCATTTATTGAATGCCTAGTGTATGGTAACACTGTTTTAGGAATTGTGATAACTACTCTGGACTTTCGGGGGCTCACCCAGCATCCTTCCTGCCTGAACTTGGACCTGGAATGAGAAGCAGAACCATAGAAGAGTGGACATCAAAGTAGAAAAAGTCTTTGGAATACCTGGGCCTGGTTTATATCTCACCAAGGAGTGCTGCTGCTGCTGCTGTTGCTGCTAGATGGCACAGTAGATAGAGTCAGGAAGACCCAAGTTCAAATCCACACTCAGACACTTAGTAGCTCTGTGATCCTAGGCAAGTTACTTAACTATCTTTGCCTCAGTTTCTTCATTTATAAAAGGAGCTGGAGAAGGAAATGGCAAACCACTCCAGTATCCTACCCCTGACATTTACTACCTATATAACCTTGTCTTAATTCTTCTAGGCCTCAGTTTTCTCAGATGTAAAACAAGGAGATTAGACTTGATATAGCCTCTTAGTTCCCTTTTCCAGCTCTAGATGTGAGTGTCTGAACTGGAAGTTTCACTGGATGAAGAAGAGATAGCTAGAAGGGTTCACCTGTAAGTAGTATGCCCATGTGCACATGTGCTACAACTCCAGTTCACTTTGATGGAGTACCTACTACAGGTTACTCAAGGGGAGAAGGCTGTAATTATGTATAAAACGTGAATCCTGCCCATTAGGAATTTATTCTATTCCTGTGTCATTCCTTCAACAAATGACTGCCAACTAGTGTAAGGCCCTAGAGTAGGAGAGGGAAGAGATAATAGCTATCATATTGTATAGTACATATTATTAGTCAATAGATAACCAACAATTATGAGTTAATAATAGCTAGTAATTACATTATGGCTAATATAATTATTAACTAATATTAACAGTTTTTATTAAGACTGTCTTATTTGTTTATTGTATAATATAGTGTGTAATATTAATACTTGGTTATAGATTGTAAGTATTAGTAATTGCAACAAATAATAGTATTTATCAATAATAACTAATGGTTTAAAGTTTAGGAAGCACTTTACAAACATCACAAAGAAATAATTATACTCATTTCTATGGCACAGTTAACAAAGCATCTTCACAACAACCACACTGTATGATAGGTAAAGATCTCATTTTAAAAAGAAGGAAACCGAAGCTTAGTTGCAAAATGATTGACACACAGATAGCATGAGGCTCAAGTCCAGGTCTCCAGGCCCCAGGTTTAGAGCTGATCTTTGAAGACAATTGAGTCACAGGATACTCACATCTTAACTTAAATGGATTCAGCTAAACAATAACAATAACAACTGAAGAGAGAGAGGAATAACCATTTAAGGAGTGTGGATCACACCTACCTATGATGAGCATGTGCCCAAAGGTTTTTCTGTTTTTCTGTTGCTGAGCATGATCTCCTCTTATGCAAACCCACAGGTAGTCTGTCTTGTACATGGGCTTAGGTGGGTAGAGCTAAAGAAAGGAACAGCCCTAATTAGTCTTCCTGCCATTCCTAATAGGTGGTCATTGCTATCTATGTATCCTTTAACTTCCTCACATCCTCTCTTGCCTCTTGGGGAAGCAGAAGGAAAAAACAGTTATATGGTGGTGTGAACACCCTCTAACAGAATCACACTTAATGTATGAAGCCCTTTCAAGAGTTTTCTTCCCTTCCCCGACACCAAATCATCCACTTTCCCAGCAGTTGAGTATTTCCCTGTTTTTCATTTTTGTTTTGAACCTGAGACTTCTTCTCAACCTGGAAGCTGGATTGGCAGCTAGCTCCTAGGCCCATCCCAATCTTGATCCCCTACAGAACTTTTATCTGCTTGATTGTTCCAGCCTGGGACAGTTTACCCCTCCTGAGGCAGCCTCATGACGTTCCACTTTGCTACTAGGGGGCTTAACAGAATGATGCTGGACATATCCCTATTGCATCTTAGAACTCCCAGAGTCAAATGATACAGCTAGGTGGAACAGATAGAGTGCTGGAGGCAGCAAGACCTGAGTTTGAATGTTGCCTCATATACTTCCTAGTTGTGAGATCCTGGGCAAGTCACTCCATCATCCTCATCATCTTAATTTCCTCATCTGCAAAATGGGGATAACAATAGCACCTACCCCACAGGATTGCTGCAAGAACTAAATGAGATGACATATATATATATAAGTAAAACATGTTGCAAACTTTAAATGGTATATAAATGCTAGAGTGGATAGAGTGCCAGCCTAGAGTCAGCAAGACTTTTCTCTCTCTTTTTTTAAAATTAATTTATTTTGAATTATCAACAATCACTTCCATAAGCTTTTGAATTTTAAATTTTTCTCCCCCTCCCTCCCCAAGATGGTGTGCAATCTGATATAGGCTATACATACATACATATATATATATATATATATATATATATATATATATATATATATATACACACACACACACACACACATATATATGTAACATTAATGACTTATAAGTAAGAATTAGAACTAATAGGAGGAACCACCAGAAAGAGGAAAGAAAACACAACAGAAGAAAAAAATAGCAAATCGTATGCTTCGATCCTCTTTCAAACTCCATAGTTCTTTCTTTGGATGTAGATAGCATTTTCCATCATGAGGCGTTTGGAGACGTCTTAGATCCTTGTATTGCTGAGGAGGATTAAATCTATCACTATTAGTCATCTCACAATGTGGCTGTTACTGTGTACAACGTTCTCCTGGTTCTGCTCACTTCACTCAGCATCAGACCATAGAAGTCTTTCTAGGTTTTCAGGAAGCTTTCTCTTCCTGGGTTCAAATCTAGCCTCATATACTTACTAGTACGTGCCCTGGGCAAGTCACTTAACCTTGTTTGCCTCAGTTTCCTTATCTATAAAATGAGCTGGAGAAGAAATGGCAAACCAGTACAATATCTTTGCCAAGAAAACCCCAAATGGGGTCACAAAGAGTTTGACGGAACTGAAAAAGACTGAACGCTACCACTACTTCTCAGTCTTAGCCTCCCTAGCAACAGGGATTACAGGTGTACTCTGTGACACCTGGCTTTATGTGTTTTTGTTATCTTATATTTAAACAGGAATTCTGATTGTTCCCCCTAAACCTTCAATCAATATTTTCACTGGGTAGAGGGAAAAATGAAATTTTCATCCAAATGTTTCCATAGTAACCATCTCAGCTCCATCTGCTCTCTGATACAAACTACCTTCCTTTAAATAGGCCTAGGCTCTTTCTAGCTACACTTATTTAAAGGTACTGTCCTACTCTGTGGGTGATTTAAGGGTAATTTTGACTATACAGGATCTCATTTAAGAGCTTATCTAACCATCCTAGATGTAACTCCACTATTCCCTATTCTTCCTTACAGAAAAAGATAACCTCTGTCCTCATGGAACTTTAATTTCTAAACTCCTTCAACTGGCATGTGCATTTGCTGCTTCTATTCTCTACCTCCCAAACCTTGCTATCAATTCCAATATGTCTAAAACAAAATTCATAATTTTCTCCCCTTTATTTCTCAGATCAGTTCCTCCTCCTGACCTCCCTAATCTCTATTAATAGTAACATCATTCTCCCAGTAAAGAGGCTCTTAAATCGGTCACCTTTTACTTCTCCATGTCTCTTAGCATAAGCTTTAGGTTGCTAAGCTCTGCTCATTGTTTTGGGAGCATAATTTC